TTGTGGAGAAAACTCAGCACGTGTGTGTGTGGGCATATTTGTAATTTTGGACACTGCCTTTCATTTTAAAATAAACAAAAACCCCAACAAGAAGCCCACCCCCACTGGCATCGTGATTGTCCTTCATGAATTTACTCGTGGAGTTTAAATATTATTTTTTTAAATTAAAACACTTTCAAACTTTTCAGAGAGAAATTAAAATGAGCGACGGTACTTTCGTTTAAACTCGCCGAAAAGGTAAAACCTGAAATAAATACATTAAATTAAAACCGTTGAGCGACGCAACATTAGTGATTTAACTCGGGTAAGGGGGCGAGGAGGGAGCCAGACAGACACAGGCCCACAACTTCATTTCATAAGGTCCACGGGCAGCACACGGCCCCACACACTTCTTCATTCTCATTCCACGCGGCTCAGGGCCACGCCGGCTCTTCCGAGTTTCAAACAACGCCTGAGCGCGTGCGAGGGGCGCACACGGCCCTTCAAGCCTCGTGCGCAAACCATAAACGTTTCCCGAAGAACCGCACCGCCGCTGTCCTAGGTCAGCATCACAACAAATGTGGGTGACCGACCGACGTCAGCGGCGAAGCAGTGATAGGTAACTGCGGACTACTGGCTTCATCAGAATTATGAGTCATCAGCGAAAAAAAGTCACCCATTTTGTGTGTTGGTTGAAACTTCCGGTTTTACAGCCTGCGCTTTTCACCCCAGTCGCGTCGGGACGATTTTTGTCGTCATTCGCGAAATTCCTGGAACGGATTTTTCCGCGCAAATAAAACATTGCAACATTACAACGACAGGACAGAGGTTGACGGCCGCGAATATTGGAAGCCAAACTCCCCCCGCCCCCCCGTGCTGTCCACTCAGGACGTGCCACCCGACACCCAAGGCGTGAGCGAGTGAGCGAGCGGGAGGAAAATAAATAGGAACGGGTATCGAGTGGCCGCGATACGGCCGATCAAGACCACGACGTCAAAGTTTCCCAAACCGCCGATGCCACCGTCACCACCATCATCGCCACCGTCACCACCACCGTCGCCACGGCACTTTCTCGCTGCCAAGGCGTTCTACCGCCCTCCGCCAGATCCAGCGGCTGAAACCGCAACACATGGCAGCGACCTCCAAGATGCGCCCGGACAATTTGAGACACCCGCCACGTCGTTTCGACAGGCGTCGCTGCAGCGGTAGGTGGAGTGCCGTGCGGCTACAACATTCCCTGGTTCGTTCTGCACTCCTCCCGCCCTTGAACCCGCACTTGACCGGCGTTGCGAAGTATAGTCGAATATCCATAATGGCTTCATCAGGCAGTGGGTTCACAAAAACAGGTTGCGGATGTGGTGAACTGGTGGCACGGTGGTGAGCGGTGGTGAGCGGTGGTGAGCGGTGGTGAGCGGTGGTGAGCGGTGGTGAGCGGTGGTGAGCGCCGTGCCGCACTATCGACCAGAGTTCGATTCCCAGCTACGGCGGCATCCGAACCACTTCGGAAAACAGTCACCCCCAATTTGCTTAAACCGCGCGGACAAACAAAACGGTGCCCCGTGACCGACGCAGCGTGGAGGAGGCCTTCATCCAGCAGTGGATTGACAAAGGGCTGTACATTACACTATTGTTATTGTTCTGCCTCACTATGGCACATTGCAATGGTTTCAAGAAACCCATTTCCAATTCAACACTGCAGACAGGAAACGGTCCGTACATCGTTCACCGAGACCTGGGGATTCATTACAATGAAAAGCCATTACACGCAGCACCGTTAGCCGGCTGACCTTACAATTACGGTGGCATTGCCATTCATTAGGGATGACGCAACTGCAATTATAATCGACCCCCGGTCTGCCCATCCACACCAGCCCAGCGGGTCAGGTCAAGTGCATCAGAATCCTTCACCGTCCTTGTGCAACAGCTTTACACCAACAAAAAATACAACACTTGAGCTCTCTCTACCATGTGCTTTCGGAGCGTACCGCGTGTTGTTGGGCACGACGTCCGACGTTTCGCACCACGTGCCAGGAGCTTTTTTTTTTCCTGCGGGAACGGCTCCGTTCCGTTGAGTTTGTCGTTTGCTATTGTTGGGGGGGGTGGGGGGGGGGGGGGAACGACGTCCGACGTTTTGCTCCACGTGCCGGCAGCTGCTTCTTCTTCGGGAAATCGGGAAGGCGAGTGGAAGTTCCAGCCGTACGCATCGGAGCATCGTAGCGCGCGTGCCCGGGCGCTGCGATGTCGAGCATCAAAGCACGCGAGCGGCAGGGCGAACACCGGAGCGCGACAAGGCAAACATCATCCCGCGCGACACGGCGGCCCCCCCGACACGAACTCCACACCACGTGGGCCCAGCTGTGCGGCACGGCCACGGAAAATCGACGCAGCAAAAGAAGAAGAAAATAACTCCGATTTAAAGCTTTCGTGACTGCAGGGATTCATCTTCTTGGTTCTTTCGGTAAAGTCACGTAGAAGGGAAGTAATAAAATAATAAAAATAAAACATAATAAATAATTCTCACGACGTTTCGGCCACAACGCAAGCAGGTCTGTCGGGGAGACAGCGTCAGACGCGTCAGACGCTGTCTCCCCGACAGACCTGGTCTTCACCTGAGGACGGCTGCTTGCGTTGTTGCCGAAACGTCGTGAGAATTGTTTAATTATGTTTTATTTTTATTATTTTATTACTTCCCTTCTACGTGACTTTACCGAAAGAACCAAGAAGAAGAAAATAACTCTTCGGTGCAGGCCTCGTTATCGTCTCCCCCTTGTATCAATTCCTTTTTGCTTGCCTTCTTCGGAACAAGCAAGTGCAGTATTACTTCCAACGCAAACTGCCCTCCCAATTGCATAAGCATCTCCCGCTTGGAAGCCCCAACGTCACGAGCTGAGAGTCGTCACCTAAACAACATCGGCCCGGGGAGGAGGAGTGGGGGGCAACGTCACTCTGAGGTTCACAGCCACCGTCCCTCACCCTGAACACCACCGGCCACCCCCCCCCCTCCCCACCCCTTTCCTGAACATCAGGGTCGTTGCTGTGTTCTCCATTGTTGTGTTCTCCATTGTTGTGTTTTCTGTTGCTGTATTTTATGTTGTGGTCTCCATTGTTGTGTTCTCCATTGTTGTGTTCTCCATTGTTGTGTTTTCTGTCGTTGTTTTCTATTGTTGTGTTCTCCGTTGTTGTGTTCTCTATTGCTGTGTTTTATGTTGTGGTGTTCTCCATTGTTGTGTTCTCCATTGTTGTGTTTTCTATTGCTGTGTTCTCCATTGTTGTGTTTTCTGTCGTTGTTTTCTATTGTTGTGTTCTCCGTTGTTGTGTTCTCTATTGCTGTGTTTTATGTTGTGGTGTTCTCCATTGTTGTGTTCTCCATTGTTGTGTTTTCTATTGCTGTGTTCTCCATTGTTGTGTTTTCTATTGTTGTGTTCTCCGGGCACGACATCCTGACGTCTCACTCCACGGGCACGACAACAAGCGAGAACGAACTGAGAGCCGCAGCGGAGAGCCGCAGCGGAGAGCCGCGCTGCGGCGTGACAGGAGGCGGCACAAGGGGCGACGACGGCGGGACGTCGAGACAGAAACCAAACGGGCGCTTGTCCCAGCGAGATCTGACAACCGTGACATTTTCACGCGGGCCGTTTAGTCGGCCGGTGAATGGTTAGAACGGACGGCCTCTGCCCGGAAAGCAACACGGAACCTGCGTCGATGCAGCATGAACGCAGCACGGACGCGTGATGCGTCAACGCGGACACAAAGACGCAACATGCAACGACGCAAGCGTCGATCAACTTTTTTTAAATGACCACTGGTGCACTCCCGGCAACGAACCCCCCCCAGCCCTTCGCCCCCCCTCCCCCCCACTTCTCACCCCCTCCCCCCGCGGTGCGGTACAATTTGGAAGCCGATGATGACACGCTCGTTCCGTGTTTCGGTGACTCCCTACAAAATCCGTCCACGGCGGAGGGGTAACCGCTTCGTGGAGGGTCAACGGTGGCTGTGCATCGGCAGAGGCTCGCCGTGAATGGGAAATGCGCACCGCCTCAATGCTCGCTTGTGTAGGAAATCAGTTTTTTGCCCAAATCAATTATCAATTGACCGGAACGTGACAAGCTCCGGATGGGGTTAGGGTGTGGAGTTAGTTCGGGGTTGGCTGGATCTACAAGTGGAACCGACAACTCCACGGTTATAAAGTAAAAAAAAATGTTGGTGAATAAAAAAGTCCAATCACAGGATGACCTCCCCCGCTTCAGTGTACGGCTGAAATTCACCGGTGATCATTGCACGAAACGGTCGCTTTACCTCCGGGTTACATCAATTCTTTAGTTATAACCGGGACGTAATCGCAGCCGGTTAAACGCAACGGCGACCAGCACCCAGTTTACCTTCAGCTGTGGCCGAGATGGCTAATACCAGTCGCTTGCCACCAGCGACACGCAAAATATTTCCACGCGCCCTGCACACCATATCCAGTACACCTCTTTCGATGGCAGTATAACTACTATTCATGTGTCTACTCCAGAGCATAATCGGTGAGAAACTAAGCCCCGGTTAAGGCAAGATAAAATGACTACCACTGTGGGGAGGGGGGGGGGGGGGAGTCAACAGTGGCTTGGGGCTGTAAACGTGAGATGAGCAATGTTTGAACGCTGACTTTTTTCAAATGGAAACGTCACCAATGTGCTGCTCTACGTGACCACCATATCAACTGCTGAAAACATAAGAATGACACGCGAATGTGTGTGATAATTGGTTTTTTACCCTTCTATCTGGCAACAAAACTGACACCTTTTTTACAAGGAGTCATGTTTGCATACACCACAATACCTGCAGTCATAATGCAAACAAAAAACATAACTCTGATAATGTGCACTGTCCTTGAAGTTGATTGGTCCACACCCGAGACAGCTTTCCTTAGAGCCTAGTCTCACATGGGTTGGACCAGATGACGCCAAAAGGCGCACAACTCAAAGACAATGCACCAGATAGAAGGGTAAAAAACCAATTATCATATTTTTTACTGGCAAATGAGGTTCCAATAGTGAGTGTGTGTGTGTTTGGCCTGTGTGTGCGTAGTGGTTAGCGCGCTGCGCTACCAACCCAGCGTCCCGAGTTCCATTACCCGCTCAAAACCAATAACAGTGGAGAATATCTGAACCGGTTTTAGGCCTTGCCTAGGTCGACTCGACCTTAAGTGGGTACCCGCTGTGGTGTGTGTGTGTAAATATCGGCACTGGGGAGTCAAAAGCGGCCAGGCGCAGTATTGGCCAACCCACTCCATCCTGTGCCGTGCCAGTTTTCACGGGTGCTCGCAAAAACACATTTTGTCTTCGTATAAAGCAAATACGATGATGATCTAAAGACACTCCAGACAAAGTGAGGTTAGCGAACGCCTAGAAAGAGATATGGAGATATATGCATAGAGAAACGGCGAGAAATATCTGTATAAATGTGGAGATAGAAAGAGACAGTTAACAATGGGAGGTAGAGAAAGAGGGATGAAGAGTTAGGGGGCGGGTGGGCGCACGAGTTCATGTGCGAGGGGTGGCAGTGTGTGTGGTGAGGGGTGAATTGTAAATGAGTGGCAGGGTGTGTGGTGCGAGGGTGGCAGTGTCGTGGTCAGAGGTGGCAGAGTACGTGTGGGATGTGGTGCCAGGGTGTGTGTGTGGGTTGCCACGGCAGAGTGTGTGCGTCGCGTGGGTGACAGGGTGTGTGGTGCGTGTTAGCGACGCACGTGCGGGTAACCGAGTGCGCGTGTGCACGCGCGTTTGCTAGGGTGCGGCAGTGTGCCTGCGTGACGAACGTTGGCAGCTGGGTGTATCGACACAGGCGTATGGGCGAGCGATGCCAATCTGCGGCGATCGTCATCGTCGCTCGCCGCTGCGGCGCTCCTCACGTGGTGAGCTGCTGCTGCAGCGTGCGCGTGTAGTAGCGCGAGGCGTGCGGAGCCAGGCGGCTCCACCGCGTCGCGTGCAGCTCCACCACCTCCAGGAGCAGCGAGCGGCTCAGCGCCGACTCGGACGGGCTCAGGATCTTGTCGCGCACGAGCGCCAGCGTCTCCGTCATGACCCCCGGAAGCTGCTCCTCCAGCAGCCGCCCGACGCTCTGCAGCTGTTCGAGCGGGGCGTTTGGGGGGGGGGGGGGAGGTAGCGGTGAAGAGAGGGCGGTGGACAAGAGCTGTTAACGACACGTAGGGCGACGAGACGCGTTTTCTACGGCGCGATTTGGTCACCGCGGAGACGACTTCGTGGTTGCGCGCGCACGGTTGCGACGCGTTTAAGGGGCTTACCTCCAAACAGCAGCAGAGGACGGCGTCTTCCTTAAACTCCTCGGCCTTGAGGAGCTGCCGGGGAAGCAACGGACAATGGGAGAGCAGGGGGAGGGATAATCAGACGGTACTTTCTTGAAGAACAAAACAACCAAGGTAAAAAAGACAAAGGAATCGGAGGATTTGAGAAACTTGCACCATTCTTTCAACCGCCGCACCAGGAGATCAAATCAAACCGGCGACCTCTAGCTTGGAAGTCCAGCGGTGTTCACCACTACACCAGTGTGGCAGCATCCCTACCCCACCCCCCCTGCGACACTTTCCGTGAAATTCCTAGCATCCACACAGCAACAGCTGTAGCAGCCTCTACAAACAATGCCACGTTTTTTGATGACCGTCCACTGTCCGAGTTCAGCGGAGCTACGCACGGACACCGACAACGCTACCGCATGGCTCCGCGATTGTGCACTTGCCGAATGAATATAAAATAACATAATTACACGTATGATTGCAGTATATGCGTGTGTGTGTGTGTGTATGTTGAACTTGTTTTGCACCGTACGTAGGCAATCGGAGATGCAGGGAGGAAGGACAACAAACTAAAAACACAAGAAGCAGTTCTAAAGAAATGAGCTGTCAATCTAGATGATGATGATTTAAAAGCAGCGGCTTCCTAATATCGGAAGGAAGAGCGTTCCAGACGGCCGCAGGAGCGCATCCGAAAGCGCGCGTCACGGTGACATCCTTGCCGGGTCGAACAATATTACGAATCACATCGCGATCCGGTGGACCGTCTTTGTTCGATGGCTGGCCGGGGAGCCGCCGCTGCCGCGAGAATGACCGGGGAAGGAAAGGGAAAAATGCGCGAGTGTGGCACCTCCTGCAGGCAGGTGTAGACAGGGATGGCCAGCACGCGGTACGGCTCCGACGCGCTGCTGCGCATCGTGCCGTACACCTCGCACAGGAAGGTGACGAAGCCCAGCCAGCGCTCCACGTCGCGGCGACGCGTGTCGGCGCGCTGACCGTACTCGCACTGGCCGGGGAAGACAAACACACACGCGCACGCGCAAGGCAAAGAGCCCCCACCGTATAGCGTTAAACAGACTACTCTTTGGTTCTTTCGGTAAAGTCACGTATGAAGATAAAATAATAAATTAAATAATAGCATACTACGACGTTTCGATTGCAACACAAGCAATCATCATCAGGTATAAATGAAATAGCAACAAAAATCTAACCAGAAAACTATAGACAGACATATAAGCAGAAAGGCCTCGTCACAGAGACGTTCTCTCTCTGTGTGCCTATGTGTGTTCTCTCTCTATGTATCTCTGTGATATCTGTCTGCTTATATGTCTGTCTATAGTTTTCTGGTTAGATTTTTGTTGCTATTTCATTTATACCTGATGATTGCTTGTGTTGCAATCGAAACGTCGTATGCTATTGTTAAATTTATTATTTAATCTTTATACGTGACTTTACCGAAAGAACCAAAGAGTAATTCCTGCAGTCACGAAAGCTCCAAATTAAGGTTAAACAGACTGTTCGGGCCAAGTGCTGTTTGCAGCAGGCCCGGGACCGGTTAAGATAATCGTCACTGACGTTGCCTATGATGGGAATCGAACTCAGGTCACTGGGTTCGTAGCCGAGCGTGCTAAAAGCCTGTTGCACTACCGCTCCCCACACGCACACGCACACACAAGACAAAGATCTCCCGTATAGCCTTAACAGACTGTTGGGGAAAGTGCTATTAGCGGCCAGCACCACGTCCGGCCGCCTTTGTCTCCCAAGTGGCGATGTTTACGCACCGCACCAGGCACTCGTTTTAGGCCGAGTCGACCTAGGGGAAGCCCAGAACTGGTTTAGATAATCGTGAGCGGCAATCAAATTTCAGTCGCCGGGTTCGCAGCGCAAAGCGCTAACTCCGACACTGCCAGGCACACACACACAGACACACACAGACACACACAGACACACACAGACACACACAGACACACACAGACAGAACTCGGCAACGTGCTGCGAACCCGCCACCTGTGGACCCCGTGACAGCTCCCACGCGTGGCGAAACGCGAGCGCCGCCGCTGGCACCACACCTCCCTCACCTGCAGCGCGTTGAGCAGCAGCCCGCGGAACTTGTTCCCGTGCGGCGCCAGCGCCAGCATGCGGCTGCACAGGCGGGCGATGACGGCCGCCACGCTCCGGTTGGCGATGGCGCCCTCGAACAGGGTGCTCACGACGCCGCTCAGCGCCGCCTCGTCCGCCTCCGCGTGGCGCCAGGCCTCGCCCACGACGCGCTCCAGCCTCCCGTCGTCCGCACCGGCGCCGCCGCCGCCGCTCTGCTGGTGCGACGCAGGCGACAGAGCTGCCTTCCGTTTTCCACTTCACCCACGGCGGGTGACACCGGTTGGTACGCGACGAGTCATCCTGTCTATACCCGGTCTATAAATCTCCGCTACGCTGTGGGAACTCCGCGCGGCAACAGCGGACACGTGTGGTGCCGCCCGCTGTTCGACCAGAAAAAACCGTGAACAATTGTCACCTTCATGTCGTCGAGTAGTTGCGAGAGCATGTCGACGCTGTTGCTCAGCGGGGCGTCCGGGCTGGGAGCAAACTCCATCCTCGGCCGCTGCTAAAGGCACACGACAACGACGACGATGTCGATCAAGCAACGCACGTCCAACGCTCGACGCCGCGGCGACGTCATCGGCTCGCCGCAACGGTGCGCTACGACGCGGAGCCTCGCCCCGGCAGTCGCCCGGTGCCAACGCAACCGATTAAGGCGTCGCGCGCTCCTCAAAGCCAATTTAAGGTTGTTGTTTTTTCCGTCACCAATTGAGCTTTCAAGATCACGTGTGGCAGCAGCTGCCCACGGGCGCACAGCCCAGAATTGTCGCTAACAGAGAGGAGCTGTGCTTTTCCGTCGAGCACAAACCCCTCATCGGTCCCACTCGCCGCATTCCCTCACCGTCTGCTGCAGGCGGCACTGCAGCCGCGCTCGTGACGAGTCGAGCAGCGGTGAAGAATGCGGCGTCGCCTTGCCACCACCGCCGCCACCACCGCCACCACCGCCGCCGCCGCCACCGCCGCCCAAACCGCCACCACGCTCACAGTGACTTATCAGCCCCGTCCCCGTGTCCAGCCGCACTTTAGAGGACGCCCCGCAGCCCGGAGAGCCACCCGATGCTCGTGGCTGCTGCTGATAACAGAGAGGGGTGGTGAGAGAGGAGTGGTGGTGAGAGAGTGGTGGTGGTGGTGAGAGCGGTGGTAGTGAGAGAAGGGGGTGATGGTGAAAGAGGGGGATGATGGTGAGAGAGAGAGAGAGGGGTGTGGTGGTGCACGAGGTTTCCGTGCTCGTTCCCCGCGGCCCTCCGACGTGTTCCCGTGTCGCGCCTCGTTGGACGCCGTGCCGAGCGGCGTGCGGTCCACCCCGAGAATACGGCCAAGCGCTGTGCGCGCCGTTGTTAAAAACGGCGAAGCTACGTACACTACGTCCGCACGGCACGCGCACAACAAGTCATCACGGCGGCCCCCGCCCCGCCTCACCTCGTGCCGTGACCCCGCGACCACATCGCGTGAGGAGGGACCCTGGGTAGCAGGGAAGCCCCCGCCGCCACCACCCCCGCCGCCACCGCCGCCGCCCCGTGGCACCGACTGCTCTCCCTCCGGACCCGGCCTCTTCCCCTCCTCCGACTCCTCATCCCGCTTGTCGTTCGCGCCGTTACCGCCGGTCCACTCGCAGCCCGCTCCTGCGCACGGCACCGCCACCGCCGCCACAATCAGCCACTGGTGGTAAGGAGCCTGGGCATCTCCCCTAGGTCGGCTGAGTTGCGAATGGAAATTCCTTCGTCCCACGACGCAACACGCGAAGCACTGTCGGAGAAAAAGCTCGCGCTCGAAGCAAGCACGAACTGGGGCAGGCCGCGTCGCAGCGTGCCTGCGACCAGATCGCCTGCCGTGCGCCCGGTCTCCTCACATCTCACAAAGCTAAGCAGGCGTGAAGGCTGGACAGTGCTTGGACGGGTGACCACCGTGCACAGCGGGTGGCGTAGGCTGCTGCGGGGGCAATGTGTTGTCAGTGTGAGGCAGTGCGGCAACACGTACTAGTATACTCTACTCCGACGCTCCAACATTTGTGCCGACTGGCGTGGTGCAGCATGACAAATTCCACTCATGGCCTGCACGACGAGGGGAGGCCCTCATCCAGCAGTGGATTGACAAATGTCCTCATCCCCCTCCTCATATTCCTCCTCTTCCACCTCCTCTACCCCCTCCTCCTCCTTAACCCTCTCCCCCCCTTCCTCCCCCTGGCTCAACCCACCCCCCTCCCCCTCCTCACCGCGCTCTCTGCTCCCGTGCGCTCCTTCTCCGGCCCCGCCAAGCTGCCCGTTGCTCGTCGGCGCCAGCGCCGCCCGGCCGCCCGTGCCGCCGCCGCCGCCGTCGCCGCCCTTTCCCGCGTCCGTTCCCCTCTTGCCGTGGCGCCTGCGCGGCGAGCCCGCTGGCGCATGGCTGTAGTTCCTAGCGCCACCGCCGTCGCCGCCGCCGCCTCCTCCTCTGCCCTGGTGCTGGTTGCCCCAGCTGTCCCGTCTACCGCCGCCTCTCCGTAACAGCGCAAGCGAGTCCGGAGAGTAGTGCTGCTGCTGCTGCTGCTGTGGTTGCTGTTGCTGATCCTGCTGTTGTTGTTGCTGCTGCTGCTGATAGTGATGGTTCGGCTGGTGTTGATGGTGGTGCCCGTGATGTTGGGTGGCACGGACCCCCGGAGGGCAGTACAGCCTCCTGGAGCTGGGAGGGCAATTGGGGTAGTAAAAACGGGTCATTGGGTCGGAGGGTCGCAAAGGTTTAAAACAAATAACAGATCATGAATTCCAACGGGCTCCCAGCTGGTTAAATGTAAGAATGCCAATCGTGCACTCAAATTCCTACGCTTAACCTGCCGGTGTTGAATCAGATCACAGCGGCAGCAGCCCAAGCCGGAGCCGGTAGACCGAGTTGGTTTGATTGACGCCCAACTCCAGTCATCTCTCCACCGCGCGTTGCGAGATCAGAAATCTGCGGCAGCACCGGCCGCATCACGCGCATTCACACCCCCCCCCCCCCCCGCATCTCACCTGCGCTCACGTCTCCTGCCCTGGCCGGAGTTCACAGCCCGCGTAGCAGAGTCGCCATCGACGACCTACAGGCACAACAGACAAAGATCACCCGTATAGCCTGCACAACCTCGGGGGAGGGGAGGGCAAGTGCCGTTGACGAGCGTGTTGAACTTCTTTCGCACCGTACGTAGCTGACCGTGTTAATCGGAGTTGCTGATGTGTGCTCACTGAACCAGGTACTCGTCTAAAGCGGCGTCCCTCAAGGAAGCGTGATGCCACTCGCCATTGATGTTACCCGCGACCGGTAAATGATTTGAGGTGACCGGGTTAGTAGCAGTGTTAAAAACTAGTAGACCATGACTGTCCACAAGCGCATATAAAGACACGAGGGTGTGGGTGGCCAACACCAAACCCGGGCACCTTTGTATCCCCAGTGGTGATGTTTATGACACACTGCACCAGGTACTCATTTACCACCACTCTCACCTGTCGTAAAGTGATGATGATATTTACACATCGCAAGCACACACACATGTAAACAACAACAAAGAGACACACACACACATGTGCTTGCTCACAAGAACTTTCTTCATACTGCACTTTTTTTCCAAGTGTATATTATAATAATAGATTATTTAGTTTTTACACAGCATTTTCGTTCTTGCAAATTGCACCTCACATTTGCTGAGGAGCCACAAACAAACTGGAAGGCAGCAGCCAGGGAGTGAACCAGCACCGATAAAATTGCCCAAGTTCTTCACTTCTCTATACAGGGACTCCTCAACTTACAAACTTTCAGAGATACGAACAAACCTGACCATACGTCCAGTTGCCTGTTCGGTCCGAGAATCGTAAGTTCAACCGCCGCGCAATATCTAGCGGTGGTGGCATCTACATCTGCGGAACGTGAAGAACCAGTGGCATCTACATCTGCAGAACGTGAAGAAGCAGTGGCATCTACATATGCAGAACGTGAAGAACCAGTGACATCTACATCTACAGAACGTGAAGAACCAGTGGCATCTACATCTGCAGAACATGAAGAACCAGTGGCATCTACATCTGCAGAACATGAAGAACCAGTGGCATCTACATCTACAGAACGTGAAGAAGCAGTGGCATCTACATCTACAGAACATGAAGAACCAGTGGCATCTACATCTGCAGAACATGAAGAACCAGTGGCATCTACATCTGCAGAACATGAAGAACCAGTGGCATCTACATCTGCAGAACGTGAAGAAGCAGTGGCATCTACACCTACAGAATATGAAGAAGCAGTGGCATCTACATCTGCAGAACATGAAGAACCAGTGGCATCTACATCTGCAGAACATGAAGAACCAGTGGCATCTACATCTGCAGAACGTGAAGAACCAGTGGCATCTACATCTGCAGAACATGAAGAACCAGTGGCATCTACATCTGCAGAACATGAAGAACCAGTGGCATCTACATCTGCAGAACATGAAGAACCAGTGGCATCTACATCTGCAGAACATGATGAACCAGTGGCATCTACATCTACAGAACATGAAGAACCAGTGGCATCTACATCTGCAGAACGTGAAGAAGCAGTGGCATCTACATCTGCAGAACATGAAGAACCAGTGGCATCTACATCTGCAGAACATGAAGAACCAGTGGCATCTACATCTGCAGAACATGAAGAACCAGTGGCATCTACATCTGCAGAACATGAAGAACCAGTGGCATCTACATCTACAGAACGTGAAGAAGCAGTGGCATCTACATCTGCAGAACATGAAGAACCAGTGGCATCTACATCTACAGAACGTGAAGAACCAGTGGTATCTACATCTGCAAAACATGAAGAACCAGTGGCATCTACATCTGCAGAACATGAAGAACCAGTGGCATCTACATCTGCAGAACATGAAGAACCAGTGGCATCTACATCTGCAGAACGTGAAGAAGCAGTGGCATCTACATCTGCAGAACATGAAGAACCAGTGGCATCTACATCTACAGAACGTGAAGAACCAGTGGCATCTACATCTGCAGAACATGAAGAACCAGTGGCATCTACATCTGCAGAACATGAAGAACCAGTGGCATCTACATCTGCAGAACATGAAGAACCAGTGGCATCTACATCTGCAGAACATGAAGAACCAGTGGCATCTACATCTACAGAACGTGAAGAACCAGTGGCATCTACATCTGCAGAACATGAAGAAGCAGTGGCATCTACATCTACAGAACGTGAAGAACCAGTGGCATCTACATCTACAGAACGTGAAGAACCAGTGGCATCTACATCTACAGAACGTGAAGAACCAGTGGCATCTACATTTGCAGAACAAGAAGAACCAGTGGCATCTACATCTACAGAACGTGAAGAACCAGTGGCATCTACATCTGCAGAACATGAAGAACCAGTGGCATCTACATCTGCAGAACATGAAGAACCAGTGGCATCTACATCTGCAGAACATGAAGAACCAGTGGCATCTACATCTACAGAACGTGAAGAACCAGTGGCATCTACATCTGCAGAACGTGAAGAAGCAGTGGCATCTACATCTGCAGAACGTGAAGAACCAGTGGCATCTACATCTACAGAACGTGAAGAACCAGTGGCATTTACATCTACAGAACGTGAAGAACCAGTGGCATCTACATCTGCAGAACATGAAGAACCAGTGGCATCTACATCTACAGAACGTGAAGAACCAGTGGCATCTACATCTACAGAACGTGAAGAACCAGTGGCATCTACATCTACAGAACGTGAAGAACCAGTGGCATCTACATTTGCAGAACAAGAAGAACAGTGGCATCTACATCTACAGAACGTGAAGAACCAGTGGCATCTACATCTGCAGAACGTGAAGAACCAGTGTCATCTACATCTACAAAACGTGAAGAACCAGTGGCATCTACATCTGCAGAACGTGAAGAACCAGTGACATCTACATCTGCAGAGCGTGAAGAACCAGTGGCATCTACATCTGCAGAACACGAAGAACCAATGGCATCTAGATCTATTGAACATGACGAACCAGTGGCATCTACATCTCCAGAACAGGAAGAAATAGTGGCATCGACATCTACAGAACACGAAAAACCAGTGGCATCTACATCTGCAGAACGTGAAGAATCAGTGGCATCTACATCTACAGAACATAAAGAATCAGTGGGATCTACGTCTACAGGAGATTAGATAAGTTTTAAAACCATTCCCCGTGTTTAGTGTACATGCTGTACAATGTGTTTGGAATCGACAGGAGTAAAGTTGGACTTACGAACAAATTGACTTACGAACAGACCTCTAGAACGTAACTCGTTCATAAGTAGAGGCGTCCCTGTATATTAGGATGTTTCAGCCAATTAATGATTGTTTAGGAAAAAAAAAATACATGTTTTATCACAATGGCCACTTGCGTGGTCAGACGTGAAAGAAACTGCGACTATTATTAACTTACGGCTGCCATCGTGCTGGGCTAAGGATATTGACATTTTTTTCTAAACCGCCGTAACTTCAGTCTTGCCTCAAACATTCCTCTGGCAGGTCCCAAAAATAAACACTAAATATGGGAGCCTGTCCTTCCACCACGAAGCTCCCAAGAGGTGGTTTTTGATGGCTCAAGAGCTTCGAGTGCTGAATCGGCGGCACCGATAGTCTGGGTTCGAATCGGGGTTCGTCAGCTGCAGCCTACGATTAATCCGGGTTCCCAAGTGCAGCGAGTTGACGGGTCTCAAGCCTGGTCGTTAACGAGTGCACGGAAAATAATCGTGTTAAATTTGCTTCTGTAATTGGCGAAAAATTCCAGCTCTGAAAGTGAACGAAAGTTCGTTTCGACTCGTGCGGCGAAAACACGACTCTGTGTGGCAGTGCGGCTGGGAAAGTGCCATCTTCTTGTATGTGACCCGGATGTCACCTGAAGGAGGGATTCTCGGAGGTAGCTCTGTGACAACCGCTTCCGCGGACTGTTCTCGAACAACACGAAGCATCGCGCCGCCCCGCGAGAACTCCAAAACGGATTCTTAGTCTCGTTCCTCAACGGCAGAGGTCGCAACCGGGTACCCGATACCCGGCTACCCGTTCCCGGCCGGGTACGGATACTCGTTTGCGACCCTGGTGCGGCCGGGTACGGGTAGCCGCACGTGACTCACTCCAACCAATGAGTGAGAGGGCCGTGAGTCACTGGTGAGTAACCGTTTGTCACTCATTTCCCAACGTCTTGTCTCTTCTCACAATTCAAGTTCCTAGAATCAACCCACCCGCGCCTGTAAACATGGCTTCATCCCAGAGGTCGCAATCGGGTACCCGATACCCGTACCCTACCCGATACCCGGCTACCCATACCCGGCCGGATACGGGTAGCCGTTTGCGACCCTGGTGCGGCCGGGTACGGGTACGAGTGAGGAATCAAAACCCGTTTGCGACCTCTGCTAAACGGCGATTGCGCACTCGCGATAAAATTGTGCGAGGAGTTTTTGTTGTTTAAACGAGCGCAGCACTCACCTGGGAAGATCCGTCGTCCCTCGAGTCGTCCTTGATCGCAGCCTCCGCGTCGCCCACGTTCTGGCATTCGCTGCAAGTCGAGCAACGGTGGTAGAGAAAAATAAAAAAAACTCACGGTTAATTAACCGTGGCCCGGCCTCTTGGTGCTGAACCTCACCCCGGCATGCAGATGTACACGGTGATAACAACAATGACGGTAACCATCATCGCCCAAACCGTTGAAAAAGCGAGTGCGGGCAAGGGCAGGTCGCGTCATGGCCAGAAGGGATGGGCGATGGCCGAGAGGATGGACGATGGTCGAGAGCAATCACGGAGTGGCAGCAAAAGAATGGAACGCGTCCCAGAGAGAGCAGGCCCGCAAGGAGATGGAGCTTTGAAATCTGTTCGTGCGCGTGCAACTGTGTTGTATCGCGGGATCGTGGGAGGTGGTGTCGGCAGCCTGGGGAGGACCTCATGCAACAGTGGATAGATCAAGGCTGATGTTGATGATGATGATAAATAATAATAGACATGTAATGATTCAACCCAACAGAGATTCTACGGATTGTCAGGACGCTGGTCTCGACACTATTGACCCAAGCATCTTTAGTAGCAATGACATCAGTATCAGCATCATCATCATCATCATCGGCACAATCATCATCATCATCACCATCAGCTACCTGTCACCGTGCTCTGTGTGGTTGGGATGCTTCGAGAGGCTTTGATGTTGGGAGGTCGACGTTTCCTGGACGTCTGGCTGCACGTCCCAGCTGCAGCCGCTGGACGCAATACACGACGACCACAACGTGGATTTATACGGCGCCCGACTGTGACCCGCATCCTCGCCGTACAGAAACGGTGGGAATATTTATACCATGGAGATGACAGAGGCGTTCATAGGTCTCCGTGGGAGTCTTATGGGCCTTTTTGTGATTCGATTGGCGTCTGGTGCGAGTCTGTGCAATGCATTGCGGCCGAAATTAGACATCTCAAAGATGGTGTAAACAGTGGCACTATTTATTTGTATAGAGAGATAGAGGCGGTTAGTCAGAGCGAAAACAAGGCAGGTCTGGAGCCTGGATGTGAACTGGGGAAGGGTATTAACAGCAAGGATGGCTGGGGGAAGGGAATTCCAGATTGGAAGTTCCAGATTGAGAGTTCCAGACACAAACAATGTCAACAAACAATAACCGCCATTTGCCACTAAGTGGCGGTGACTTCATGTACACACTCCGAGATACACACACACACTCACACATTAGTACAAATGCTAATTCTAATAAAGACACACACACAGATGCCACCAGATGCAATTACAGACACAAACGCACGGACAAATGCAGTCAGACAAATATACACAACTGCACCACTACTCTTCATAGACAAAAGGACAAAGATCCCCCATATGTCATTTAACCGACTGCTGGGGAAAGTGCCATCAACGAGCACCTATTAAGGCCTGCACGGCACACGAGGGTGTGGATGGCCAACAAGACGCCCGGTCGCCTTTGTCCCCTCACCTCCAATTAGCACGGTTGGCTACGTACGGTGTAAAAGAAGTTCAACATTCAAGCACACATACACGAACACACTTGCACAAACCCGAGTACACAAATACATGGATGCACGAGACAAACACGTGAACGCAAGCTGGACCCCGTTCAATCACAGAGGCAGTGCGGCTCACCCGGGTACCCGATACCCGTACCCTACCCGATACCCGGCTACCCGTACCCGGCCGGGTACAGGTACCCGTTTGCGACCCTGGTGTGGCCGGGTACGGATACGGGTAGGCCGTGAGTCACTGGTGAGTCACCGTTTGTCACTCATTTCCCAACGTCTTGTCTCTTCTCACAATTCAAGTTCCTAGAATCAACCCACCCGCGCCTGCAACATGGCTTCATCCCAGAGGTCGCAATCGGGTACTCGTACCCGTACCCTACCCGATACCCGGCCGGGTACGGGTAGCCGGGTATCGGGTAGGGTACAGGTACCCGTTTGCGACCCTGGTGTGGCCGGGTACGGGTACGGGTAAGGAATCAAAACCCGTTTGCGACCTCTGGCCCAGACGCACAACACAACACAACCCTCGCATCTGAATCTTGGCTCAAACGCATCACGCATTCCATCGCGACAATCCGATCGCATATCGTGGCGGCTCAAAAACACAACGAATAAATAAAACCTCTTGTGCTGCCACCGCCGCCACCACCACCACCACCAAAATAACAAAAGATCCCCCGTGCAGCCTTTAACAGACTCATATTCTTGGTTCTTTCGGTAAAGTCACGTAGAAGGGAAATAATAAAAATAAAACATAATAAAATAAAATTCTCACGACGTTTCGGCCACAACGCAAGCAGCCGTCCTCAGGTGAAGAAACAGAGCTGTCTTTCCGAGAGCTCTTCTTCACCTGATAATTTTATTTTATTATGTTTTATTTTTATCATTTCCCTTCTACGTGACTTTACCGAAAGAACCAAGAATATGAATCCCTCCAGTGACGAAAGCTTTAAATCGAAACTTTAACAGACTGTTGGGGCAAGTGCTGTTGTTGGCGAGTAGCAGCACCTATGAAGCCTGTCATGGCACACGAGGACAAGGATGACCAGTACCACACCCGGCCGCCTTCATCTCCCCAGTGGTGATGTTTACTACACACCGCACCAGGTACTCATTTACCACCACCACCTCCACCACCATACTCTCACCTGTCGTAAGGGTTCGTATTCGCCGCCCATACATCGTACGAAGGGTCTTGGACTCGAGGCTGCAACATGGGAAGGAGGAGGAGAGAAGTGGCGGATTAGAAAACAAGAGAAACTCATGCAGCTTCTGAGTCGTCATCAACATCATCATCATCATCACGAGCCACTGCTGGATGAAGGCCTCACATGGCCCAAGCCAAGCTCTCGCCATCTCCCATGGTGGTCGTGCGATGCAGCAGTCCACCAATCTACGAGATGACCGGGAAGGCGTCCGTACATTAATTCATTCTTCATTCGTCATCGATTAATTCACGGATGTAAATTGGCACGATATTGAGACTGGGGAAGAGTCGGTGGAGAGGTGAGAATGTGTGGAGGCAGGAAAGAGCGTGTGGAAAGCCAGGGAAGAGAGTATGGAGATAGCACGATGTGAGAGGGGGTGAGAGGGGGTGAGGGGGGGTGAGGGGGGGTGAGGGGGGGTGAGGGGGGGTGAGGGGGGGTGAGGGGGGGTGAGGGGGGGTGAGAGGGGGTGAGGGGGGGTGAGGAGGGGTGAGAGGGGGTGAGGGGGGGTGAGGGGGGGTGAGAGGGGGTGAGAGGGGGTGAGGGGGGGTGAGGGGGGGTGAGGGGGGGTGAGGGGGGGCCCAACCTTGGGCTGGGGGCCTGTACGGCCTCCTCTGGGCCGTGGGGAGGGACTTCCACGTTGAACCTGTCGCACAGACAAAGCCGGAACGGGCACACACCAGCTAATTCATTCACTCATTCACTCACTCAACATCACATTTCACTACTTTATTCGTTCGCTCAACGATCAATTCCATCGGCCAACTCATACGTTCGTTTACTCACCCGTTCATTCGCTCACTGGCACGCTACGCGACGCTCACCCGCACGCTCATCCGTTCACCCAAGTCGCATGCTCAGTTTCGTGCGGTCACCCGCACGCTCGTACATTCGCCCAAGTCGCATATTCCACTCCGTTCGCTCATTCCGCACGCCCGCAGGCCGCTCACCGGGGGGCTGTTGATCCACCGCTGCTGAATCCGACCTCGGCCTCCTCGCTGACCCTTCCAGGCCCGGGTGCTCCGCTTGTCGCTCCGATCCGAAGAGCCCTGTCGCGGACGACAAAGACAAAGACCGCCCGTGTAGCCTTAACACACTGTTGGGGCAAGTGCCGTTCGCGAGTAGCAGCGCGAAGGCAAACGAGGTGGCCGGCCACCACACCCGACTATCCTTTTGTTGCCTCAGTGGCGATGTTCATGCACCGCACCGGGTACTCGTTTCAGGACGAGTCAACCTAGGGGAGGGCCCCGTACTAGTTCAGATAATTGTCACCAGTGTTGTTGGCCGTGAACAGGAATCGAACTCAGATGGCCGGGTTCGTAGCACGGCGCGTTAAAACGTGTGCACTACTGCTCATACATGAACGCAAACAAAGCAAAGATCAGACTGTTGGGGCAGGTGCTGTTAGCGAGCACCTATGAAGGCCGGAACGGTACACAAAGGGGGTGGGTGGCCAGCACCACGCCCGACCGCCTTTGTCTCCCTAGTGGCGATGTTTACACATCGCACCAGGTACTCATTTGAGGCTGAGTCGACTGAGGGGAGGCCCAGGACCGGTTCAGATAATCGTCACTGGGTCACCAGGTTCGTAGCGCAGCGCGCTAACCGCTACACTACCTCTCCCCACACACAAAGATAAAGATCCCCCATATAGCCTTAACAAACTGTAGGGGCAAGTGCTGTTAGCGAGCACCTATGAAGGCCGGAACGGTACACAAAGGGGGTGGGTGGCCAGCACCACGCCCAACCGCCTTTGTCTCCCTAGTGGCAATGTTTACACACCTCACCAGGTACTCATTTGAAGCTGAGTCGACCTAGGGGAGGCCCAGGACCGGTTGAGATAATCGTCACCGGTGTTGGCCGTGAGCGGGAATCGAACTCGTGTCGCCGGGTTCATAGCGCAGCACGCTAACCGCTACACTATCGCTCCCCATAACACACACGCGCTCACACGCACGCACACATGCACACACGCGGGCACGCACACGCACGCACACACGCGTGGCTTCCACATGTTCGCTGCCAGCATCCCACTTCAAAACACTGCGGACTGCCGGCATGGGAGAAGGGGGTAGAGGACGAAAATTCCTGTGGCCCAGCGGCTCGCAGGAATGTGAAGCATCGCGGGCGGCGTGGCGCGGCATGGCGCGTGGCGCGTGGTATGGCGCGTGTTCATGGCGTGGTGCATGGCGTGGTGTATGGTGCATGGCGTGCAAATGTTTAAAGCGCAAATTGGACGCGGTGCTGGGTAGCGCGAGTAAACCGCGGGCGAAGGGGTGAGGGGCGAGAGGGCTCGCTGCGATGAGCAAAGCGGATGAGCGGAGATTTTACACTCAGCAGGCCAAATAACCAAAACGGATAAGCATACGATACGCGTCTCCCTGCGAAAAACCAAAAAAGAAAATTCTTACACCCCCCCCATCGGCAGCACAGCCTTCTGGGAGCTTTCCCATTCAGCAACGAAGACTGAGGTAAAGCAAATTCTGGAACGGGTTTTTTGGCACGCAGTGTATCCGTCAGCAGCATCAGACTTGCATGAATCAATGCTGGTGAACTCACAGATGTTATTGCCAAGGACCTTCCTTTTAGATCTGAAGTTTTCGTGACTGCAGGGATCCATACTATTTGGTTCTTTCGGTAAAGTCACGTAGGTAGAGAAATAAAATAAATTCAATCACGACGTTTCGATCGCAACACAATCGGCCGTTCATTACCGAAAGAACCAAAGAGTATGACCTTCGATTTAAAGCTTTCGTGACTGCAGGGATTCATCTTCTTGGTTCTTTCGGTAAAGTCACGTAGAAGGGAAATAATAAAAAAATAAAATAATAAAACATAATAAAATAATTCTCACAACGTTTCGGCCACAACGCAAGCAGCCGTCCTCAGGTGAAGACCAGGTCTGTCGGAAAGACAGTGTCAGACGCTGTCTTCTCCGACAGACCTGTTCTTCACCTGAGGACGGCTGCTTGCGTTGTGGCCGAAACGTCGTGAGAATTATTTTATTATGTTTCATTTTTTATTATTATTTTATTATTTCCCTTCTACGTGACTTTACCGAAAGAACCAAGAAGAGTATGACCTTCCTTTGAATATACGGCTCCCATATTCCCTACAACAACGCTCGTGATCATTTTGAGTTGCGTATAATTTTGCGTCCAACTAGAACTCCTATCTGGTAGTTCACCGCCACTAGATTCAAGCAAGCCTGACAATGCTGATGAGACACTACACGTCAAAACCGGTCCACAGTTTGCTTGTACTGAAGCAATGCTGCCAAGATCGTGCTCTGCCAGAAGGGCGTTGGGCGTACACGTGTTGTGTAAGAAATATGAAGGAAACATTGTCCGCTTATCTATTTTGTTAGACCGAGTAGACAAGGAGTCTCTGTTCCGTAACATTTAGACGAAACAGACGTAGTGTATTACTTTAGATTTTACGCTGATCTGACAAAGGTTGGCTACATATGGTGGTGAAAAAATGTCAACGTACATTCAATAACAAAAGAAACTCAACACGTGCCATTAAACAGTCCGGCCTTTAACGGAATGAACATGTATAACAGGCGACGTTTTGGCCCATGGCCACCCTTCTCTAACACAGCATGTCCACGGCTCTTGTCAACAGACTTCCGTGGACAGAGTGACTTTCGAAGTCCGCACATTGTGATCGCGGCTGATCCAAACAGGTAAACACAAACTCTACAACAACGTTAGGAATGACAGCCACTCGGTGACGCTGCAGATAAGGGTTTTGGGCGCACTTCCAGTTTTGACACCGTGCGAGTACAACATTGGTTCTCGGGGGTCCGTAAAACGCGACATTACCTTGAAATGACGGGAAATGCAAATAAATACCGTGCATTTATTTTGTTTGCTATGCGAGCTCTTGCAAAACATAAGACTAGGTCGCAGGTCACTCTTGCCAACGAGACTCACAACCTATTCTCCCGAGTTCTCAGCCGGTTCAACAAAATGTACTTGAATCGTTCTTTCAGATTTTTGGGTCGGATCGCGCGTGGGGTGCGTTGTGCTTTGAGAAACACGAGGAAGTTTCCCCAACGACGAGAACGTTTAAACGGCTGAAGTTTTTGTTTCTTATTATTTTACAACCCTTATTTTATTCAACAAAAATAAATAAAAGCTAGCGTTAAAGTTTCAAAGTTTATTTATTAGGTATAACCCTGTGAGCCATTCGGCTCTTGAATCGGGTGCAACCGCAACAAACAAAAAACAAAAACATGAACAAGAAAACATCTTCAAGTGACTATGTGCAAACAGAAAATCCAAGAAAAAATTGCCGTCGCTTCGCGGTACGCGCTTCACACTGACCGCCCCCCCCTTCACGGGCCCCCCGAGGATCACATGACCACGCCTTCACCGCTGCACACGTGTCCGTTGTCTTTCCCCGTCGTGTAACATTACGCAATGCATTGAAATGTCATGCGTAATATAAACAATATGTAAAAACCCATATACGTGTTATTTGCTGATGTTGCTGCTGCGATGGCAGTGGTGCAAAGGCACAAGTAACAATATATTTTCCAAAGCTCAACACACTGTGTGGCCTTCAAAGAACACATTCCTGCGGAGGGAGCTGGTAAGAACGTTGGGTTGCTCGGTCAATGGCCAGGGTCAACGGCGGCGTGGTGTATTCCGCAAATATGCCCGACTGTGAGGGCGGGCACAAGCCGGCGTGAGTAGGTTAAACGTTGAGTTTTATAAGGGCACCACGGGGTGACCAGCCCCTCCCCACCCAGCCCCACCCCTCCCACCAACACCACCCAGCCCTCCCCTCCCCACCCAGCCCCTCCCCACCCAGCCCCTCCCTCCCCTCCCCACCCAGCCCTTCTCCACCCAGCCCCACCCCTCCCATTTTTGGATGCACGACGGACGGACACAATAATCCCCTGTGGGCTGGTGGAACCAGGTGGTTCCTACTAGTAACATATTTATATAATAGGCAACGTTTTGGACAATGGTCCTTCTTCAAAAGCACATTAAATCAGATATGTGCTTTTAAGGTCGTGTTATTGGCAAATATGTTGAGTGTTATTGTATATGTTTAAAACCTCCACTACACAGCTTAACAGGAGTGCTGGTCTGTGTGTTTTGACAGCGGTGCTGTAGAGACTAAGTGGATGCCACCACCGTGGTATGTATGTGTGTGTAAAACTTCTTTCGCACCGTACGCGGTGGAATAAATAGCAAGCTGGACTTGCAAACAATGGTGAAAGTTTCTTACCCCCCGCCCCCTGACCCGTCGCTAACAACGCCCGCCCAGCAGTAGACGATTACTATTTTTATTTTACCAGGTAAGGCCCACTGAGCTGTGTGTAGCTCTTTTACTGGTAGGAACCTCCTGGTTACACCAGCCCACAGGGGATTATTGGGTCCGTCGTGCAGGGAGGGGCTGGGTGGGAAGGGAGGGGTTGGGTGGGGAGGGGCTGGTGGGGAGAGGCTGGGTGGGGAGGGTGGGGAGGGGCTGGGTGAGGAGGGTGGGGAGGGGCTGGTCACCCCGTGGTGCCCTTGTAAAACTCAACGTTTAACCTACTCACGCCGGCTTGTGCTCGCCCTCACAGTCGGGCATATTTGCGGAATACACCACGCCGCCGTTGACCTTGGCCATTGACCAAGCAACCCAACGTTCCTACCAGCTCCCTCCGCAGGAATGTGTTTTACCAGGCAAGGCCCACTGCACTATGTAGCTCGTTTTCAGAAGCGACCTGGCCACAAATTATAGCTCAACCGAGTGGCTTATCGCGTGGTAATGTAAAGCAGCCACATACTCTAAATGCGTGATGTCGATTCTAAATATGCAAGGGAAAAACCGGAGGACGCAGAGAAAAATCCAAGCGACCATGGGGAGAGAGTCATGCAAACTCCAAATATACAGCAGGCATCCCGGGTTGGGATCGAACCCACGACCTCCTGCATACCAGGCGAGATAGTAAATAACCCTCCACTGCGGCGCCATATGAATAGGCGCACCGCAGTTACGTCGATCGGCAGGTCGCGCGTTGGTGGTTGGGTAAAGTGTGTGGGTGCTCGCACCTCTTTAGAAACATGCGCTGAGAGTATTTCGCTGCTGCTATTAAATTCCACGCGACAAGCCACTTCGTTGAGCTATCATTTGTGGCCAGGCTGCATCTGAATAAGAGCTGGGCTTTAAACTAAATAAATATTTTTTAATACTTTATAGTTTACAAGTCGTCTGACCGGCGAGGAAGAGTAGGTCAAAATAACCTAGAAACAGTAGCTCCCTGGAGCTCGCAAGTGCAGAGCTGCACCTATACACACCGCGGTGAATATTTCTGCACTCTCATTTGGTATCCCTAGCGCGCCCCACTCCTCCCCTCCGCCACCCCTACCCCCCTCCCACACCTCCTCGGACACAGCGGCAAATTCTTTCCATCGCAGTTGCGTTGGCCAGCCAAAGAAAGCCGAGGCCCTCTTCGAATAATTCCGAGCGTTCTTGGCATTTGTCGAAAGAAGAAGAAGAAAAAAAAATGCGTAGCAGAGCCGTCGAACAGAGGCACCTCATTCACGCCCAGGGTTTTGGCGAGGGGCGCAGTTTCAAGAGGGATTTCGCTTTTGCAAGTACGGTCGAACAATAACAGTCGTAACGTGGGACTTATACGGGCGTCCAAATGCGACCGCGTCTCAAGTCGCCGTACAGAAACGGTGGGAATGTTTACACCGTGGAGATGATAAGAGGCAATCAGTCACAGGTCTCTATGGGAGTCTATGGGTCTCTTTGTGATTCTATTCGCATCTGTGCGAGTCCATACAATAGAATGTGGATATATACGGCGTCGCTGTACAGAAAGCGGGAACATTTATTTTATAGAGAGAGAAAGAGGCAGTCAAAAAAAATGTTCTACACAGGCAGGTCTTGAGGTTAGACTGGAACAGGGGCAGGGAGCCAACAGAACAGATTTCTGAGAAGAGTTACAAAGAGGGCAGCAGATGAGAATGACGAGACTTCCAAAATATGCACAATAAATACACTACAGTCAACTAAAACTTTAACAACTTTTTTTTATTTTACCAGTTAAAGCCCACTGAATTACGTAGCTCTTTTTCAGAAGCGACTTGGCCACAAATGATATATACTCTTAGGTTTTTACAGTAAAGTCACGTAACTAAAAATAAATAATAAAATAATAGAAATAATAATAGTGATATATTATTTCTATTATTTTTATTATTACATTTTTTTACCTACGTGACTTTACCGAAAAAACCTAAGAGTATGAATCCTTGCAGTCACGAAAGCCACAAATGATATCTCAACGAAGTGGCTTATCATCACATGTACATTCATAGCAGCCAACTACTCTAAACGCGTGTTTCTAAATGTGGAGGGAAAAACCGAAGGACCCGGAGAAAAATCCACGCGACCACGGGAAGAACATGCAAACTCCAAATATACAGGAGTCAGGGTCGGGATCGAACCCATGACCTCCTGTACACGAAGCGAGGTAGTTAACAGCTCGCCACCGTGGGGTGTGCACATTAGAGGCCGACCGAAATTCGGTTTCGGTTTCGGCGCCGAAAGTTGGCAAATGGCCTCTTTCGGCATACTTTCGGTTTCGGTTTTGGCCGAAACCAGAAATTCAGTTTCAGTCGGCCTTTAGTACACATACAGTATACATACAGCACACGTTCCGGGAGGTATGTGCGCTCGCATGTGGCACACCGCATCCCAACTCGGATGCGCCACGCCACACAGCGCCACCCCACAGCGCCACACAACGCCACACAGCGCCACACAGCGCCACACAGCGCCACACCACGCGCCACCCCACAGCGCCACCCCACAGCGCCACACAACGCCACACAGCGCCACACAGCGCCACACAGCGCCACCTCACAGCGCCACACCACGCGCCACCCCACAGCGCCACCCCACAGCGCCACCCCACAGCGCCACGCCACGCGCCCACTTGCTCCCTCACCTGCGAGGCGACGGGCGACGAGTCCGAGTCGGGCTGCTCGTCGTCACGCAGCGTCCCCTCCACGCGATACTGCAGCACGCAGCTGTCGATGAACCGCTCCAGCGCCTCGATGTCCGGTGACAGTTTCCCCTCGTCACCCACGCCGCTGCCTGCGTCACCGACGCTGCCTCCACCGACGCTGCCGCCGCCGCCACCGCCGCGACCGCCGCCGCCGCTGCCGCGGCCCTCGGGGGAGGAGGTGAGCGAGGAGTTGTCCCGGTCGGGCGAGACGGCACCGCGTCGATCTGAGCGCGGTGCGGCCTGAGAGCGGCAGGGCCGAGGGTGAGATACCGGGGGAGGGTTACAGTCCGACACGTGGTGAGGGTAAGCTGTTACAGGTTAGCTACAGGGTTATGGGTTAGGGTTGGGATTAGATGAGTACGTAAGTTCAACATACATGCACCAACATACACAAGAGGCAGTGAGTAGGGTTACAGATAAGGTCAGGATTAAGGTTAGAGCACGGAGCCGGCACCGCTGAGAACCTGGGTTTGAATCCAGGTTTAAGTCACTCCCTGTGATTAAACCGGTTTCGCAATGGATACGAGTTGATGGTCTCAGCCTGGTCGCCAAGAATTGTTTTTAAAAACCCATTACTATAACTTTGGTTCCACATTCAATATAGCAAAATTCCATCTCTGAGAAATACAATGTCGCTCTGATTGACCATCATGCGACAAACATCACTCACCATTGGAACCTCATTTGCCAGAAGAAAAAATATGATAATTGTTTTTTTACCCTTTTATCTGGCAACAAAACTGACACTTTTTTTACAAGGAGTCATGTTTGCATTGACTACAATACCTGCAGTCGTAATGCAAAAAAAAACACAACTGATAATGTATGCACTGTCCTTGAAGTTGATTGGTCCACACCCGAGACAGCTTTCCTTAGAGCCTAGTCTCACATGGTGTTGGACCAGATGACGCCAAAAGGCATTACGACTGCAGGTATTGTGGTCAATGCAAACATGACTCCTTGTAAAAAAGGTGTCAGTTTTGTTGCCAGATAAAAGGGTAAAAAACCAATTATCAAACATCACTCATTTGAAGAGCGGGTGGAAAAGTGCTGCCCTCAACTGTGGGTGGCCCAGAGGTCAACTGTGGGTGGCCCAGAGGTCAACTGTGGGTGGCCCAGAGGTCAACTGTGGGTGGCCCAGAGGTCAACTGTGGGTGGCCCAGAGGTCAACTGTGGGTGGCCCAGAGGTCAACTGTGGGTGGCCCAGAGGTCAACTGTGGGTGGCCCAGAGGTCAACTGTGGGTGGCCCAGAGGTCAACTGTGGGTGGCCCAGAGGTCAACTGTGGGTGGCCCAGAGGTCAACTGTGGGTGGCCCAGAGGTCAACTGTGGGTGGCCCAGAGGTCAACTGTGGGTGGCCCAGAGGTCAACTGTGGGTGGCCCAGAGGTCAACTGTGGGTGGCCCAGAGGTCAACTGTGGGTGGCCCAGAGGTCAACTGTGGGTGGCCCAGAGGTCACTTGAAGACATCTCAGAATAAGCTCTGTGATATCCGCTTCCGTGGGCCGTTCCCTAAATCGAAGGGATGCATTGCTCTGTAAAAAATGTGAATGGATTATGTGTCTCACTATATGACACCAGTTTAACACGTAGGCTTTCATGACTAATATTATTCATAATCAACGTTTTTGGGTTTAGATCGCGTTATTTATAAATGTGTCGTAACCCTCCACCACCCGACACGGCCAATCAGTAAAAAAGTGTCACCTTGACAAAAGACAAATAGTTCACTGCTTTAACCCACCGGTGAGTTGAAGCATGAAACCACAACATTTACAATTTGAGTACGACATTTCGCTGGTAATTGCATCCAGCATCATCGGGCGAATTGCAATTCATCATCGGGCGAATTGCAATTGGCCGTGTCGGGTGGTGAAGAGTTACGACACATTTATAAACAATGCGATCTAAACCCAAAAACGTTGATTATGAATATATGACACCAACAGCAAAATCGGGATACCATTGGGGGGAAAATGTTAGCTTTTAAAAAATCTAAATTGTGACTGTATTGGAAAGAGCACATTCAACACTGCACCTACCCAACCACGAATGCACTTTGGCTAAACACATTCCTGCTGCGGAGGGAGCTGGTAGAGGAACGTTGGGTTGCTCGGTCAATGGCGACGTGGTGTATTCCGCAAATATGCCCGACTGTGAGGGCGGGCACAAGCCGGCGTGAGTAGGTTAAACGTTGAGTTTTATAAGGGCACCACAGGGTGACCAGCCCCTCCCCACCCTCCCCACCCAGCCCCTCCCCACCCAGTCCCCCCCCCCCATGCCCCTCCCTCCCCACCTAGCCCCTCCCCACCCAGCCCCACCCCTCCACCCCCCACCCAACCCCACTCTCCCCACCCCCTCCCCACCCAGCCCCTCCCCACCCTCCCCACCCAGCCCCTCCCCACCCAGCCCCTCCCCCCCTGCCCCTCCCTCCCCACCCTCCCCTCCCCACCCAGCCCCTCCCCACCCAGCCCCTCCGCCCCCTGCCCCTCCCGACCCAGCCCCTCTCCACCCAGCCCAACCCCTCCCATTTTTGGATGCACGACGGACGGACACAATAATCCCCTGTGGGCTGGTGGAACCAGGAGGTTCCTACCAGTATTAATGCTCTTCATTGCCCAGTCCTGCGTAGTGGTGGTGCTGACAGTGGGTGTGGTCGTGTTGGGAAGTGGGGATTGTGTTGGTAGTGGCAGTGGCGGTGTTGGTGGCACTGACAGTGTGAAGCCGATAGCAGTGGTGGTTGTGGTGGCGGCATTAGCACTGCTGTTGCTCGTAGAGATGGGGGGTCGTGATGCTTGCGGCGTTGATGATGGTGCGGGTGGTGGCAGTGTTAGTGGTGGAACAGGGGGTGGTGACGATAGAGGTGGTAAGCATCGTGTCAGTTTTGTTGCCAGATAGAAGGGTAAAGAACCAATTATCATATTTTTACTGGCAAATGAGGTCCCCATAGTGTAGATGCTTGCCCCGAGCTCTCATACTCTGATGGTGCATTGTCCTTGAGTTGTGCGCCTTTTGGCGTCATCTGGTCCAACCCATATGAGACTAGGCTCGAAGGAAAGCTGTCTCGGGTGTGGACCAATCAACTTCAAGGACAGTGCACATTATCAGAGTTATGTTCTTTTGTTTGTATTATGACTGCAGGTATTGCGGTCTATGCAAACATGACTCCTTGCAAAAAGGTGTCAGTTTTGTTGCCAGATAGAAGGGTAAAGAACCAATTATCATTACGATAGAGGTGGTGGTTGTGGAGGCGACGGCGATGGCGCTGTTGTTGCCAGTGATGGTATTTTCTGCTGATTAAGACCAGCACACCGCGCATCACTGGACAGTGAAGTTACATCAGCCCGTCTGCTGACACATACACGTCCGTCACTGCGTGCTCAGCCCAGCACGCACGCAGACGGGCACACGCCCAAGCCACGCCACGCGTCTGCACCGCCGCTACACACACCCGCTCGTGCGCCGTGTTCTCGCTGTGTCATGGGATTTGGTGCGCTGCAGCTATTCTGCTCTTGGATTTTGGTTCTGAGCACGAGGGCGATAGCACCGAACGCTAAAGTGCCTCAGTCTGTCTGTGCGAGGAACGGGCAATAACACGCAGCCACTGAGAGCAATATGGACCCTATGAATCCTGAGGGTGTGCCTTTGTCCGGCAGTGCAAACGTTGGACAATTACAACACGCGCTGAGAATAGTAAGCGTCCCTTATTCTGACTCTCTCGGCTTGGGGCAATTCACACGGAAACCTTACAAGTGCAAAAAGGTGGCTCTGTCTGGCTCTCTTGGGTGTCAGGAAATAAACAACGAACCCTAAGAACACTAAAACCAAGCCCAAACAGGAAACCGCCACTTAAATCCTGGAGATGCTTTAGTCTGGCAATGCCACGGACCCTCAGATTCCTGAGGGCCTTAGTCTGGCTGTATTTGGCAATGACAATGAACACTAAGAATACAAAAAAATGACGTAATGTGCACCTCTAAGCATGAGTGCACCAACTGGTGTGTGTGTGTACTTATAGGTACTCAGAGATAAACAATGCCACGAGGGAGACAAAGACCTCTATAGGTGCTCCTCGATAACAACACTTGCCCCAACTGTCTGTTGAGGCTATACAAAGGACCTTTGTCTTATTTATGGAATACATACGTGTTATTTATGTTTTTTTTAAGTGAAACAAATTAATCTTCTTGGTTCTTTCGGTAAAGTCACGTAGAAGGGAAGCGTCTGAAGCCGCTGTCTCCCCGACAGACCTGTTCTTCACCTGAGGACGGCTGCTTGCGTTGTGGCCGAAACATCGTGAGAATTATTTTATTATGTTTTATTTTTATTATTTTATTACTTCCCTTCTACGTGACTTTACCGAAAGAACCAAGAAGATGAATCCCTGCAGTCACGAAAGCTTTAAATCGAAAATGAAACAAATTAAGGCAACGTAAAATTAAGCCAAGGCACCACCGCTTGAACCAGTGAAAAATCACAATCTAATTCTGGAATGCACAATCCAATGCTGGAGTAGTGATGTTTCTGCGCAGAGCTAGGACGAGGCTAACCACGAGTCAACATTGGCATGCACGCCGTTCAAGCTAAGTTTAGCGGGCGTGCGATTTAAATTTTTTTCTTCCCTTTTTAGGGGTCCCCCTAACAAAACATCCTGTGATACGCGGAATGTCGAGCAAGCACGGACGACCAAGTCCCAGCGCTCGCTCTGCAGCGGTGATGCCCATCCTGTGGGAAATTGCGGAACTGCTTCAGATGCCATCTTCTTCCACAAAGCCACCAGATTTTAGTTTTTACTGCACGGCGGTCCGCAAACATTACTCAACTACGGTCATCCAGAACCAGACCAGACCGTACAACATAGAACGACGCAATGCCCGATCCACAAATACGAAAGAGAGACATCACAGCGATACACTGCGCTACTCCTGACGCGGTTATCTCGGCTTGTGTGAAACTGTCGTTGTGGCTCTGCATCCACATCAGCAGCCGTACAAAATAAGAAGACTTGAGAGGGTTGACGGTGCTCCCCGACTCCAGGAAAGGTTTGGAACCACGGCTCTAAAAGGGGCTCTCTGGCAGAGGTCGCAACCGGGTACCCGATACCCGTACCCTACCCGATACCCGGCTACCCGTACCTGGCCGGGTACGGGTACCCGTTTGCGACCCTGGTGCGGCCGGGTACGGGTACGGGTAGGCCGTGAGTCACTGGTGAGTAACTGTTTGTCACTCATTTCCCAACGTCTTTTCTCTTCTCACAATTCAAGTTCCTAGAATCAACCCACCCGCGCCTGCAACATGGCTTCATCCCAGAGGTCGCAATCAGGTACCCGATACCCGTACCCTACCCGTACCCGGCCGGGTACGGGTATGGTACGGTTACGGCCGGGTACGGGTACCCGTTTGCGACCCTGGTGCGGCCGGGTACGGGTAAGGAATTAAAACCCGTTTGCGACCTCTGCTCTCTGGACCTCCCTCGAGTGGAGGCCCTTCTGCCAGCAGTGGTGCGAGCGAGCAACTGCAGGGCTGCGCCTTCACCACCTTGCCCTGTATGCGGGTCACTGTGTATCCGCCCACGGTAACGCGGAGGAAATGCTGTGTAAACATCTTTTTTAACACGTAGGACTGTGGCTCGCTTGGCTCATAATGGGGCCAACTTTTTGCGAATTAAAATTCTGAACTACAGCCGCCGCCCCAATCAACTTACACATTCACCGGCACCGTCTCAACGCACCCTGCACCCCCCCCCCTCCCTTCGCCAGGCTGGAGTTTAAAAGCACAAGCCGAGCCTTGAATTGGCGTGGTGAGGCGTGGCACATCTGTAATCGGCAAAAAATAACTCAATGCTGTATTTTACTTTGTCAGCATCACTGGCTGCAAGCAAACTAAGCACGTAGCGCCCCGAAAACAACTGTTTAAGAGCGCTTTATACTTTTAAATTATCATTAAAAGCCACTTAGTTGAGCTATCATTTGTGGCCAGGTCGCTTCTGAAAAATAAGTTAATAGCTCAGTGAGCCTTAACTTGGTAAGATAATAAAAATCATAGTTTATTTTTATTTGTGGATATACTTTTAAGTGATTTCATTTACCTTTTCTATACTTTGAACTCCTGTTGTGTTTTTATATTATTGTTGTAACGTTCTGACCTGCACCTACTGGGCATCTGTGAAAAATAACTTTATAGCTCATCGGATTCCTCAAGTATGAATAAAATATTCCGATTCTGAGATTGGGCCACAAATAGTTCAAGGGGGCCTCAGATTTATAACACAAATAGGGATGCACCAGAAGTCAATTTCTCAATCGATAATTTTCAGGATGGCTTGCATTAGCGATTACCAGCATAAGGCACTAACACAAGAATACAAAGCAGGCCTATCCATAATAATTATTTACTATAAAACCCTATATTTTTCTAACCCTATTAACAAGTTTATACGAATTAGATGCAGTAACGAGTGGACAGAATAAGGCGAGATGGATGTGCCGTACCAATAATATATTTTTTAAATGCACTCCGGACTGTTCCGGCTAAAATTAAGCACTGGGGTGCATTAAATATCAGCTTGAATTCACATCCTTAAATCCAAATAACTAACTGTGATATACCAAAGCAACTGTGCTTATCCAGTACAGTCCATCATATTTGTAGTCGGATGAACCCAATTAATAATTTCTGCTTCGGCCCCCCAAAGGGTTAGCACCACCACGGCTCACCTGGTTTTCAAGGACATCTGTCTGTGCCATATGTATACGCATCGCTGTTGGGCACATATCCTTGTCTTAATGGTCAAAGTTCATCACGTGCTTCAATCGGCCACCACAAACTTTCACAATCACATATCTCCATGGACAATCAAGAACTTCCACATACCAAAACAAAACTTTCATTTAGCAGCACATGCCTTCGCAGACTATCGAAGACATCTATGAACCATCGGAAAGCTCCACAGATAATCAGAAAACTTCATAGACCACATACCTGTCAACCCATACGGTTGAGCCGTATTATTGTACAGGCAAATAAAGTTTTCAGGTGCATACGACGTACAGCCGTTTCAATACGTGCAAACAAATGTGTTTGTCTTTGTGTGTGTTTCTCCCTTCTTCTTGGTTCTTTCGGTAAAGTGACGTAGAATGGAAATAATAAAATAATAAAAATAAAACATTATAAAATAATTCTCACGACGTTTCGGCCACAACGCAAGCAGCCGTCCTGAGGTGAAGAACAGGTCTGTCAGAAAGACAGTGTCTGAATGAGATCCCTGCAGTCACGAAAGCTTTAAATCGAAATGTGTTTCTCCCTTGTGATGGGACTTTGTCGGATGAACGTTGAGATTTTTAAGGGCACAGGGTGACCAATAAGGTCTGAATTGGTCTGTAATAAGGTAGGGCACTGACAAGGGGTTGACAGGTATGAGACCATCAGCCCTACATCTCCAGAGCATCACAAACATCCCCATATACAAAGATAGATCACAAAGCTCCATAGACCATCACAAATGTCCACATACACCAATGTAGCTAAAACAAAGACGAGGGGGCCTTTGAAAGACAACTCCCCTCAAACCGTATAGAGCCTCCCACCTCAGAGACCTCATACACATCCATTATATATCAACGAATCGATGAATAGCACGCACCCTAGCACAGATCCCAACGGACCACAAACACACCCCCATAGAAATCCCAAAAAAAACCCAAAGCAGATCTCCAGGGGCCATAACCACCCCATATACCTCCACAGATCCCATACAGACATCTACACAAACCACCAGGCCCCGGGAGATCCCATACATACCCGAGACTCCCACAAACCCTATAAACCCCAATAGATATCCCATAAACTACCCCCTATACCACCACAGCCCCCCATGTACAGCAAGCCACCACAGACAAATATGGTCGACACCACTGTCCTACAATTCCCATAGACACCGCCGCACACGAAGAGCCAACCAAACCCCATAAACTCCCAGGGACCCCATGAACAACCCCTATATCCCCAGAGACCCCAATAGTCCCACGGTCAACAAAGATCCCCCGTATAGCCTTAGCAGACTGTAGGGGCAAGTGCTTTTAGCGAGCACCTATAAAGGCCGGCACGGCACACGAGGTAGTGGATGACCAGCACCACGCCCGACCGCCTTTGCCTAACACCCAGCGGCGATGTTTACACATCGCATCAAGTACTCATTTGAGGCCGAGTTGACCTAGGGGAGGCCCGGGACCGGTTCGGATATTCGTCACTGGTGTTGGCCGTGTGAGGGAATCGAACTCGTGTCGCCCGTTGCCAGAGACTCTAAACACCCCTTGATGTCGGATTCGAATAGACCCCACAGACGACACAGAGACCCCAACAGATGCCCACAAGCCTCATCACAGTCCCCTCGAGACCCCCTTATACCCCTTTAGAGTCCCAAAATAACTTTAGATACCCCCATAGACACGCACACACCCATCACAGCCCAAAACTATACACCCCTATCACAGCCCAAAACCATACACCCCTATCACAGCCCAAAACCATACACACCCATCACAACCCAAAACCATACACACCCATCACAGCCCAAAACCATACACTCCCATCACAGCCCAAAACTCTACACACACACACAAAACGGTCCTAAACCACACACACACATCACAACCCAAAACCATACACTCCCATCACAGCCCAAAACGCTACACACACACACAAAACGGTTCTAAACCACACACACATTACAACCCAAAACCATACACACCCATCACAACCCAAAACCATACACACCCATCACAGCCCAAAACTCTACACACACACACAAAACGGTCCTAAACCACACACACACACATTACAACCCAAAACCATACACACACACACCCTCCCATTACAATCCCAAACCATACATGCACACACCCATTACGATCCCAAACTATACACACACACAAAACGGTCCTAAACCATACACACCCATTACAATCCCAAGCGAAACATACCCACACACAAACCGGTCCTAAACTACACACACCCATTACAATCCCAAACCATACACACAACGGTCCTAAACCATACACAACCATTACAATCCCAAACCATACACACAACGGTCCTAAACCATACACAACCATTACAATCCCAAACCATACACACAACGGTCCTAAACCATACACACCCATTACAATCCCAAACCATACACACAACGGTCCTAAACCATACACAACCATTACAATCCCAAACCATACACACAACGGTCCTAAACCATACACACCCATTACGATCCCAAACTATACACACAACGGTCCTAAACCATACACACCTATTACGATCCCAAACTATACACACACATACACAAAACGGTCCTAAACCATACACACCCATTACAATCCCAAACCATACACACCCATTACAATCCCAAACTATGCACACAACGGTCCTAAACCATACACACTCAATACAATCCCAAACCATACACACCCATTACAATCCCAAACCATACACACAACGGTCCTAAACCAAACACACCCATTACAATCCCATACACACACTCATTACAATCCTAAACCATACACACCCATTACAATCCCAAACCATACACACACACACACAGAGTGACCGATCCCAAACGACCCATAAAGACAACGCCCTACACAGCCCCCTACAAACCGCAGAGGCACCCCCCCCCCCGCACACTCACAAAGACACTCTATAGCCCCCCACCCAATGTAAGAACCCCCTTAAAATTGCACCACCACCACCCCACACACACACAACAATCTCTCACCTCTACGAATGCCGCGTCCCTCTGCCCGGCTCGCTCCATGCCCTGCCGCCGAAGGCGCGGCGAGGCGGGCAGGCTGTGGTGGCTGTGCTAGTGGTGGTGGTGGGTCTCTCGTCAAGATACAACAGACGCGATTACTGCTTGACTTCACATTACAACGCCGCTGCTGCCGCCAATGGAGAGTTAAAATTTATTTTAACAAATTTTTTTTTTTACGTAAAATTACATTTTATTAACAAGCGCTCATTTACGACGCCAACGCCGCCAGCACCAGCAGCAGCAGCACACACACAACGAGAGAATAAGAAATGTGAGCGCGATTTAAAACGGCGTGAATTAATTGAGGTAAAATAGCGATGATGATAATAACAGCGGTGGGAAGCGAATTAAAATTACACGCGCGGCGAGCGGGTGGAGGAATTTAAGTTAAAAAAAAAATCTTTAAATAATTTTATAAATTAAGCGACAGCCAGGAGCCGCCTTCGGTCGCAAGGCCCCACACAGACCACGTGTCCGCGTGACGTCACGTGGGGGGCGGACCTCTCGTCGGGGAATCGATTCGTAAACAGCCGCAAGCTAAAGACTGACGATTCCGATTCCTACGCAGATTTCTTTTTAAATCCTTTATATTATTAAATCCTTTATATTAAGTTCACTTGCTTGCTTGCGCGCTTACGACCGTGCAAATCTTTCGCTCGTTTTTTAACCCACTTCCCGTGATCCAATCGAGCTGATATTTTTGCACGCAGACTCGTTGTGCGTGACAATTAATTTTCGTGAAAATTTGTTTCCAAATTTTTACACTTTTTAGGAATTTTTTTTTTATATTTAATTACCAATTGCTTAATGGTGGCAGGCAATCATCTGAGCCATAGGTGGCAGCCATCTCAAGCCAGACGACGAGATGACTCTAGCCGCCACGCATATAAAGGATTTATAGTGAAAAACTTTGTTTTTACGGGTTAATTTTTTATGAGATTAGAAATCGATGGAGTGTTTCTGCGAATCGATTACACGCGTGGTGTATGTGTTGATTGATTAGCTTATCTTATGTAGACTTGTACCGCATAGTGCCTGCGCTAGAGGCGCTTTACAACAATTATAAACATTGCACAGGAAATGATAAGTGGTTAAAATAAAGAGTGGGGTTAAAAAACGTGGTGGTGTTAGTTATGGTGACAGGTGGGAGTGGTTCAGGAGGGGCTGGGTAGTGATAGGGGTTGGGGTAGTGATAGGGGTTGGGGTAGTGATAGGGGTTGGGGTATTGATAGGGGTTGGGGTAGTGATAGGGGCTGGGGTAGTGATAGGGGTTGGGGTAGTAATAGGGGTTGGGGTATTGATAGGGGTTGGGGTAGTGATAGGGGCTGGGGTAGTGATAGGGGTAGTGATAGGGGCTGGGGTAGTGATAGGGGTGGGGGTAGTGATAGGGGCTGGGGTAGTGATAGGGAATGGGGTAGTGATAGGGGCTGGGGTAGTGATAGGGGTTGGGGTAGTGATAGGGGTTGGGGTAGTGATAGGGGTTGGGGTAGTGATAGGGGTTGGGGTAGTGATAGGGGTTGGGGGTAGTGATAGGGGCTGGGGTAGTGATAGGGGTTGGGGTAGTGATAGGGGTTGGGGTAGTGATAGGGGTTGGGGTATAGTGATAGGGGTGGTGATAGTGATAGGGGTGGGGGTAGTGATAGGGGTTGGGGTAGTGATAGGGGTTGGGGTAGTGATGGGGGTTGGGATAGTGATAGGGGTTGGGGTAGTGATAAGGGTTGGGTAGTGATAGGGGTTGGGGTAGTGATGGGGGTTGTGGTAGTGATAGGGGTTGGGGTAGTGATAGGGGTTGGGGTAGTGATAGGGGTATAGTGATAGGGGTGGTGATAGTGATAGGGGTGGGGGTAGTGATAGGGGTTGGGGTGGTGATAGGGGTTGGGGTAGTGATAGGGGTTGGGGTAGTGATAGGGGTTGGGGTAGTGATAGGGGTTGGGGTGGTGATAGGGGTTGGGGTAGTGATAGGGGTTGGGGTAGTGATGGGGGTTGGGGTAGTGATGGGGGTTGGGGTAGTGATAGGGGTTGGGGTAGTGATAGGGGTGGTGATAGTGATAGGGGTCGGGGTAGTGATAGGGGTTGGGGTAGTGATGGGGGTTGGGGTAGTGATAGGGGTTGGGGTAGTGATAGGGGTTGGGGTAGTGATGGGGGTTGGGGTAGTGATGGGGGTTGGGGTAGTGATAGGGGCTGGGGTAGTGATAGGGGTTGGGGTAGTGATGGGGGTTGGGGTAGTGATAGGGGTTGGGGTAGTGATAGGGGTTGGGTAGTGATAGGGGTGGGGGTAGTGATAGGGGTTGGGGTAGTGATAGGGGTTGGGGTAGTGATAGGGGTTGGGTAGTGATAGGGGTGGGGGTAGTGATAGGGGTTGGGGTAGTGATAGGGGTTGGGGTAGTGATGGGGGTTGGGGTAGTGATAGGGGTTGGGGTAGTGATAAGGGTTGGGTAGTGATAGGGGTTGGGGTAGTGATGGGGGTTGTGGTAGTGATAGGGGTTGGGGTAGTGATAAGGGTTGGGTAGTGATAGGGGTGGGTGTAGTGATAGGGGTTGGGGTAGTGATAAGGGTTGGGTAGTGATAGGGGTTGGGGTGGTGATAGGGGTTAGGGTAGTGATGGGGGTTGGGGTAGTGATAGGGGTTGGTGTAGTGATAAGGGTTGGGTAGTGATAGGGGTGGGTGTAGTGATAGGGGTGGGGGTAGTGATAGGGGTAGGGGTAGTGATAGGGGTTGGGGTAGTGATAGGGGTTGACATGGCTGTAGCTGGGGGGTGGGCCAGGGTGTAGCAGTAAGATGAGCTAGGAGAGAAGAGATGATGGGTTATTTGAGAGTAACGGGCGCAGGTTAGTGAAGATGACGTTATTTACTACTATGATGAGCCAATGTTTGTGTGTCCCGTGCGTGACGTCATTCCACGTCGGCCAGCCCCCCTCATTAATAATCATGAGCGGGTGACGTCACTCCACATGGAACCCCCCCTCATTAATAATCATCGAGCAGGTGACGTCACTCCACATCGAACAACCCCCCTCATTAATAATCATGAAGAGGTGACGTCTTCCAAATGGACACACCCCATCATTAATAATTAGCGGGTGACGTCACTCCACATGGGGGGGCGAGGCGCCTCCTCCCCCCTCCTCGGCGTCAACTCACAACCCTCACTACAAAGGCAGAACCCTCACGTCACGTGATCTCCGTAACGCTGTTGAGACATCAAAGTAAAAAGGACGTCATGATGAACAAGGGATTATAACCTTTAAATGAACTAAGTCTGTGTCACCGCGCCCTTACAAATTGCACACGATGTGATGCAATGAATAACACGTCGTGGTCTGATTTTCGCTTGCAAGTTTCAGATTTACTGCAATACACCCGTCCTTGGACGAGCAAAAGGCTAGTTTCTGAATAAGAGCCGTTGTCAGAAATGTAGCCTTTTCTACAGAATTCCCTTTAAGGCCACGGGGTTAATGATAAGCGCACTCGATTTTGGAATAATTTCTTAAATAAAACTCAAACACAATTTGAGTGAAACGTCATCCCATGTTAAAACACATTCCTACGGAGGAACGTTGGGTTGCTCGGTCAATGGCCAGGGTCAACGGCGGCGTGGTGTATTCCGCAAATATGGCCGACTGTGAGGGCGGGTACAAGCCGGCGTGAGTAGGTTAAACGTTGAGTTTTATAAGGGCACCACGGGGTGACCAGCCCCTCCCCATCCAGCCCCACCCTCCCTACCCACCCTCCCCCTCCCATTTATGGATTCACGACGGACGGACACAATAATCCCCTGTGGGCTGGTGTAACCAGGAGATTCCTACCAGTATAAATATTCTGATTCTGAGTTTGACAACTTGTGCCTGATCCACCAAGCATCGCTCCCTCCGGTGTTGGATGTACAAGCCACAGTGGGTAGCCACAACCGCTTGGCGAATGAGATATTAGATTACACCAATACCTGTGGATTCACCACTAAGTGACGGTGACGTCACCACTAAGTGACGGTGACGTCACCACGGCGCCTGTGCCAGGCCAGGTGGGCTTTGAGGCCACGTGAAGTTTTGAGGCCACGTGTGGAAGGCTCGCGAGTGAACACCGCACAGCTTAATACAGTATACACCCTGCTGATCAACGTTTATTTTCAATGTACATAGAAATGTGTACAAAAACTACACGACGTTTGCATCACCACCACCACCACTACATACACAATTCAGTCGACAACCAGTCCTCCACCAACACACACACGCGCATGTAGCTTGATGCGGCCAATCACCAATCCGGCATTCAAAATGATATGGGGCTCCATGAACCAATCACGACGCGTGTGGAGAATGCCGTACTGTGGCGTCACCTGTAGCGAAAGCCGGTTGTGGTTCGAAGTGATCACAAGTGCTTGTGATTTCAAGTCGATTGACGAAACTAGCTACATTAAAATTAATGAGTGTGTATATATATAACTGAAATAAGATTATGCACAACAAATCGGTCCTTCAAATTGGGGACCAGCGGATCACACCTGAGCCCCGAAGGCTCTTTTTACAATTTTCCACTGGCACATCCGAGCCGAGCTGGAACCAAACTACGATATGCTCAGTGGGCCTTACCTGGTAAAATAAAAATAAATGGTTTTAGTTTTTGATATGAATCTGACTGGGGGGGGGGGGACCAAGCAGGGCCAAGTGGGGGGAAGGTACTAACGACTGCGGGTTCCCAGCGTCACTGCGTCTCGACTATTCGCTGCACGTGACGTCAGCAGCACGGCTCGGCTTGTGCAGTAGAAAAAAAGAGGTTTCGGTGTGTGACCGCATTCAGCTACGGCCCGCCAAGACACTGAGAGATGCAGACGAACCAGATCAAAAGCGAGATAAATACGAGATCCAGTTTAGCGATAGCCGTTACGCACGTAATGTCATGACGCTTTCGCGAAGACATCGCGTTACAATTGATATCACGTGGCCCACCAGAACACACGGCCATTGTATCACGTGGCCTCCTGGAAATTAGCGTTGAAAGAACCCTGCATTACACAAAATACAAAAATAACTTGATTAACGTTATACACAATATAGGCCTACGCAAACGATCAAAAACATTAGAATTCACCCAAGATAATTGTACACGCGGAGGAGAGACAGCAGAGTCAACGCAGGAAAGCAAGGTGAGCCAGGAGATGGCGTTACAGCAATACATTCTTGAATCAATCTTTGTGGAGCTTTAGAAACATCATCCCCCTCGTGTGCGTGGTGGGTTTCCTCCAACAAAGCAAAACGCTCATGAACAATGACAATCATTCAACGCCAAACATACTAATGTAGCAGGAACCGCATCAATAACACGTCTTGACACGTCAAGTCAGGCTTTCCTGGTTGAACAAAGAACAGTTAGAATTAATGATCATATTTTTTTTTACCGTAGGCACAACTAGAGACGATGGAATAGGCAGACTTAAGGTAGCATGCTTAGGTTTGTCCACATGGCCTGTTTGTTATTTCAGTAAATTTATCAACATTTTTTTTTGCGATGTACATATACAGCTCTTTTTGTCAATTCACTGCTGGATCAGTGATTCCACCCCACGTCTTTGTGGGTATTCAGAGGGGGATTCTTTGACCACACTTCACCACGTTGGTCAGCGCGGGTTGTCTAACGCGTGCAGAATGGGGCCGTCCATAAATGACGTCACGCGAATTTGGACGATGTTGGACGATTTTTGACCACCCCTCCTCGTCACACGCCGTCACAAAAAGTCAGACCCCCTCAAATGTGACATCACAAAGATCTGCCCCCCCCCCCCCCAAAAAAAACCATGCTTCAAATCGCTTTAAACAATTGTCATTGTAGTGCGTATTCAATGTGGCCGCTGCACTCTGATGTTGTAGGAGAAAACATTTATCAAAAAGTAAATTTAATTAAGTAGAACGTGTTGTCTATATTTATTTAAAGTTGCACATTTTGATGTGACATCACATTTCTCACCCCCCCCCCCCTCGTCACACATCGTCACAAATGTCTGACCCCCCCCCCCACCCAGGTGGGTGACGTCATTTATGGACGGCCCCCCTACATACCGACTACTTGTTGTGCAGCGGTGGTGCGATCGAGTGCGGGCGCACTGCGAGCGACAATTGTACCGTTTTAAAAAATAAAATAACCCCACGTCGCCTGAGTTACCAACCACCACGGCCACGTATATCGGGTTTCGATAGCTGGCATGAGCAGTGGGATTTACACAAGGAAACTCAACACGACGCAGAGGCAAACAAACAAAGACAAAGCGCTCTATGGTCGCGCCTCCGATAATCCGTACGAAATCCCGAGCGTGCGATGGTCTGTAAGCCGGGGTGGAGCGTGGTGCGCGTTTCCAATGTGCAGAGCGCTCTGCCGTGGCGACACTACGAGGCGTCCGGGGGCGCTGGCTCCAATTGAACGGTGCCGCCTTTGGCGACGCCGAGCGCCTCGCAACGTCACGCAACCGCTCAGCCAATGAGCGGCGCCTCCTCCTCCGATTGGCTGGATTTTGACACGAACCACGCGACGTTCAGCTCCGGTTACGACGAAGCGCTATGGGTAGGGTCGTCGATAGGAAGGGTACGGGACACGGAGAAACCCACCCTGCCACACCTTCAAACTAAACCGGAAGTATCACATCCGACACCGTGACGTCAAAGCGCCCCCCCCCCCAAACGTGGGGCCTGGGGCAGTCGCCCAGATTCGCCGTAGCCCAAGGGACGGCTGTGGGCTAAACAGGCCGTTCAATAGAAGCGCTCTTGCCCACTGTACGCACCCCGGGTGTATTGCAGATGTGGCCATGCACCACAACCTCCGTTTCGTTTTCAGTGTGGTCTGTGACTTGCTGCAGATGCAATGCGAATCCATTACATGAGAAGATCCAAAATCATAGATCACGAGCCTTTTGAGACGGAGGGTGCAGGGCGCAGTCCGTGGCATGGATACCGTGCATGAGAAATTTCTCACGTGCTCATGAAGCGTGCGTGAATCGCGAGAGCGACAGCTATTTTCAACGTGTTGCATAATGACCCCTGCAACCATTAGAGGCACGATATCCAACACAATGTGTACGGCAAGTCCGTCGCTCAACGCGTTTTCGCTTTAACGCAGTTCTTCCACGAGGCAACGTATTTCGCGCGACGCGCCCGTTGTGAAACGGGACGCGCACCGTTACAATGCGGTTCCCGAACGGGTCGACGACAAACTACTTTCTCGAGCTGCGCGACCGAGCGGTGTGATACGGTACGCATAGTGATACAGTAAAATTGCGGCGTGCCCCCAGTTGTTTGTCCCGCCATCTCACTGCGTGGTGTAACGAAGCACAGAAAAACCTTGGGTTGCGAGTAACTTGGTCTGTGAGTGTTTTGCAAGACGAGCAAAAATGTTTAAATAAATATTAATTTGATAAACGAGCGAGGTCTTGCAATACGAGTGCCGAGCGTCACGTGATCACAACTGATATACGAGTGCTTTGGATTACAAACACGTTTCCAGAACGAATTATGCTCGCAACCCAAGGTTTGACAGTACGTCGTATTTTGTCAAGATTTTATCGCGACATTATTTACGGGAAAACTGTTTTCGCCGAACGCGCTTAATTAACTTAACGGGGCACTTTTCAGGAACGCATCTACTGCCGCGTTAAACGAGGACTCGCAGTATTTAAACGGCGTCTAAACGAGGCGACATCTCAAGACAGTGGGAATACTTGTTTTACAGAGTAGAGGCAGCTAGGCATAGGCAGAGGCAATTCATGACGTGAGCCTGCACTCAAACCATGAGAGCAGGGAGTCGGCGAGAATGGTGGCTGGGGGGAGAATAGACTTCCTGATGGCTGGGGCAGCAAAGGAGAAGGAGCGACCTCCCCCACTGAGTGAAGGTTGACTCGGGGCTTAGACAGAAAACCTTGGTCGGCGCAGCAGCAGCAGCTCACAGCTCGCAATTAGAAGATTTGAGGGTTCAACCCGCGGTTGTGGTGGGGGGGGGCTGACTCAGCCAATCATCCCTTTGGGGACGATAAAATAGGTATCACTTTGTGGGGGACTCAACAGTGGTTATTCTGTGGAGAGAATCATCCCCTCCGTAGGAATGTGAAATTTCCACCACCGCGGTTCAGGGCTGTAAACACAAGATGAGCACCAATGCTCTCGATGCTTATTTGAGCCGGAAATTACTTAAGACTTTTATTTGACGAGTTGATATCCCCTCCGCATGGTGTTTTGTCTGCTGCAGAGGAACGATTTCTAGCGTGGAGCAAAGATGAACAGCTGCGGGGCGTAGCGTGGGGGGATTCGTTAAAAGGCGTTGTTTTTTTTTTAAAGCAGTTTGCAGGCGATCCTTGCGAAAGCCATAAACCCCTCGTCCTAAGGGGCTCAATCTTCCCCAGATGACAAGCCATCGATTTCATCCAGGTCTCCTCCGATAGCCATCCAAAACGCCTTGGCCACCTGCACAAAGACAAATATCCCCCCGAACAGCTTTTAACAGAATGTCGGGGCAAGTTGTAGTTTGCGGGTAGCACCTATTAAGGCCGGCACGGCACACGAGGCTGTGGGTGGCCACCACAGCACCCCGGCCGCCTTTGTCTTTACCCAATGATGCTCATGTTTACCAACAGCACCTGGTACTCATTTTTAGGCCGATTCGACCTAGGGGAGTCCCAGGACCGTTTCAGATATTCGTTGGCTGCGAGCAGGAATCGAACTCGGGTGGCCGGGTTCGTAGCACGGCGTGCTAACCACTGCACTACTGCTCCCTGTGTGTGTGCGCGTTACCTGCACAAAAACATATAGCACCGATCCTGCGCAAAAGATGGAGAAATGAAATCGGCCCGTGTGAAGACACTCTACGGAACATTCAAATGGCAGGGCCGTGCGAGAGATGGCAGTGGCTCAGAAAGGCCTTCATCATCCAGCAGCGGATCGATCATGGCTGATGACGATGAGCGACGAATGGCACGCGTGCTCTGGGTCAGGTCACATGTCGTTACCTTCTCGGCGTGCACCTTGCGCTGGCCGTGTGGCATCGTCACTGCTCTGTCTGTAACGCAGAGAAACATTCCCGCACGTCTCAGCGGCAGCAGCAATATGCATGCACAGCAAAACCTGGGATGGCGAGTAACTTGGTCTGCGGGTGTTTTGCAAGACGAGCAAATTGTTTAAATAAATATTAATTTACACCATTGTAACCTCATTTGCCAGTAAAAAATATGATAATTGGTTTTTTACCCTTCTATCTGGCAACAAAACTGACACCTTTTTTTACAAGGAGTCATGTTTGCATACACCACAATACCTGCAGCCATAATGCAAACAAAACACATAACTCTGATAATGTGCACTGTCCTTGAAGTTGATTGGTCCACACCCGAGACAGCTTTCCTTAGAGCCTAGTCTCACATGGGTTGGACCAGATGACGCCAAAAGGCGCACAACTCAAAGACACGCATTCAGGAGGACCCGGAGAAAAATCCACACAACCACAGGGAGAGAGACACATGCCAACTGCAAATATTCCAGGCAAAAGAGTTAACATCTCGCCACCACGGCGCCCCAAACATAGCACTCGTAAAATACATTGTTGTGTTGTTGTTACTGTTGTTGTTGAGAATGTGAGACATGACTCGGAGAACTCACAACACCGTGTTCACGGGGCGATCGGTTGCTTGCGATTGGTGACTCTAGACAACCTATTGACGAATCGCAACTCATTATGCATTGCCCTGGAGCATCGTGGGTAAATGCCCATGTAAGCAGAACTCTATCCCTGCGTCTCCAGATATAAATAAAATATTGATTTTAGTCTGACAGCCCAACTGGCTTCCCAGGCCAAGGTTATTGAGCACTTCAACCGAGCAAACTCAGAGGTAGACTTGTAAACAAATTCCCCTGAGTTCCCGGATGTTATTGAGAAGGGCACTTCATATAAACTATAGGACACCATTGAACGCAAAACGCAATACCGTACACACAATCATTGACGGACGATTGAGTTAAATATTTATCAAATCGCCATCGTACGACTGTTGATAAGCTGCAAGATCAGTTTAACACGTACTGCTTTCGCGACCAATATCATCCATAATACAGGTATTTATTTTGTTTGGGTTAGATCGCGTAAATATATAAACGTGTCCTCACTGGCGTTCTTTAAAAGATGCAGAGATTCAAAGGTAATACCACACACAGTTAAAATAACTCACAAATGATGTCAGCAATCTACCCCTCTATTTAAAGAATGAAACAGGATTTCTCCACCAATCTGGCTGTCGCCTGATGAAGCTAGTTGTAATTACTGGCGAAACGTCGTACTCGGATTGTAAATGTTGTGGCTTTGCTCTCCAACACACCGGTGTGCTGTACCAGTAACGAATTGGCATGTTCTGTTTATGTGACAAACCTTACTAATTGGCTGTGTTGGATGGTGGCGGGTTGAACGACACATTTATATATTCATCCAATCTAACCCAAAAAAACCTGTGTTATGGAAGCTACAAGATGTTTGTTTTATCATCATCATCGCTATACTACCATAAAAGCAAATAATGTCCGTCCATCATCCCGCTTATAACTCTCGACATCAAAACTATCTTCTTGGTTTTTTCGGTAAAGTCACGTAGTAGGGAAATAATAAAATACCGAAAAAAACCTAAGAATATGAATATTTATTTTTATTATATTATTATTTCCCTTCTACGTGACTTTACCGAAAGAACCAAGAAGATGAATCCCTGCAGTCACGAAAGCTTTAAATCGAAATCAAAACTATCATCGCACGCACAGGCCTCCGTGTACAGGGTCGCGGTGGTGCGGCCGACAACTGTGAACCACAAGTTCAAGTGGAACCGGAAGAAAAAAAAGGGACAAAAAATATTAAACTAATCACCACCTTTCATCTCGCGCAGCTTCTCGTAGAGGCGCTCAAAGTTCTCGCAGTCGGCAGAGTCGGCCGTGGTGAGCGCCGCCAACTCCTGGATGTCGGTCTGCAGCATCGATTCTGACAGCGAGAGACAACCACGCGATCAAGAGTCTCCAGTCTCTCTCCTTGTTACCGACAACCGCGCTGACACACAACAGCGTCCAGTCTCTGTCGTTGCGTGTTCGTGCCGCCAACTCACCCACGGCCGCCCCCCCCCTGCTCTCGCCATTCGGCTGGGGGGTGACTCTCTCAGCCTCCTGCGACGCCTCCTCCTCCTCTTCCACCTCATCCTCCACCGCGTCACCCTCCTCCTCGTCCTCCTCGTCCTCCTCGTCCTCGTCGAACTGAAGAGAATCGGCAGCACGCAGAGGTGAGCACGCAAGGCAAGCGCGCGTTAACACCTGTGCGAGAGGCTACGACCAAATCACCAAAAGTTTGGCCGTTCTCATCAGAGCTCAGAAGCTGAGCAGGTCTGAGCCTGGACGGTGCTTGGAAGGAAGACCACTTGAGCACAACTCAGGGTGCCACGGTTGCGAGATGTTAACTCCCTTGCCTGGTATACAGGAGGTTGTGGGTTAGATCCCGACACCTCGTGTATATTTGGAGTTTGCAAGTTCTCCCCGTGGTTGCGTGCATTTTTCTCGGGGTGCTCCGGTTTTTCTCCCTCCACATTTAGAAACATGAGTTTAGAGTATTTGGCTGCTATAAATGTCCACATTATAAGCCACTTAGTTGAGCAATCGTTGGTGGCCTCACAGAGTTGTGACGATGCCTCAGGGTCAAACCGTAGGGGTGTCAGCGGGGGCGACGAGGTGGGGGGGAGCCCACTCACCTGCCTGTGTGTGCCGGGACCCACTCACCTGCCTGTGTGTGCCGGGACCCACTCACCTGCCTGTGTGTGCCGGGACCCGCTCGCCTACCCTCCAGGGCCCCCAGCGCACAGCTCAGCATCCCCCCGGCCGTCCGCTCTGCGAGACACGGCCGCAGTGTTTGCAACAGGGGTGGGGAGCGGTGGCATAGGGGGTTAGCGCGCCGCAAGAGGAGCTGTTGGAATCTCATTGGGAGGTTCGCATTTTGTTAACTGGTGGGTGGCGAGTGTCAAGGTAAGTTGATGAACGGTGAGTGGCGAGAGCACTGTTCGGGCACATGTGTAGGAGGATGGACAACAACAGGAACATTTAAAGTGCGCTTTTTGGTTTTTTCGGTAAAGTCACGTAGAAGGGAAATAATAAAATAATAAAATTTAAACGTAATAAAAGGCAATTCTCACCAATTATTTCCCTTCTACGTGACTTTACCGAAAGAACCAAGAAGATGAATCCCTGCAGTCACGAAAGCTTTAAATCGAAATTTAAAGTGCGCTGTTCGGAAAAATGGATTGAACCGGAGGGAGAGGAAGACCTAACAGAGAATGGCTGGATGACGACATAAGAGGTCGGTGCCAGAAAGACGCGGCACCACTTGAGAATATTGGCACAAGACAGAGGAAAGTGGAAACAACAAATGACCAAATGTGCAGTGGACACCTACACGCTATCTGCCCATGGATAGTGATGAAGATGATGAGTGGTGGTGAGTGGTGGTGAGTGGTGGTGAGTGGTGGTGAGTGGTGGTGAGTGGTGGTGAGTGGTGGTGAGTGGTGGCGAGTGGTGGCGAGTGGTGGCGAGTGGTGGCGAGTGGTGGCGAGTGGTGGCGAGTGGTGGTGAGTGGTGGTGAGTGGTGGCGAGTGGTGGCGAGTGGTGGCGAGTGGTGGTGAGTGGTGGTGAGTGCTGGTGAGTGGTGATGAGTGGTGGCGAGTGGTGGCGAGTGGTGATGAGTGGTGGTGAGTGATGGTGAGTGGTGGTGAGTGGTGATGAGTGCTGGTGAGTGGTGATGAGTGCTGGTGAGTGGTGATGAGTGGTGGTGAGTGGTGGTGAGTGGTGATGTGTGGTGGTGAGTGGTGGTGAGTGGTGGTGAGTGGTGATGAGTGGTGGTGAGTGGTGGTGAGTGGTGGCGAGTGGTGGCGAGTGGTGGCGAGTGGTGATGAGTGGTGGTGAGTGGTGATGAGTGGTGGTGAGTGGTGGTGAGTGGTGGTGAGTGGCATTCATAGGATTGGCTGTCCTCGAGTTTTTAATAACCTCACAATTCCATTGGAACCTCATTTGCCAATAAAAAATATGATAATCGGTTTTTTACGCTTCTATCTGGCAACAAAACTGACACCTGGCTCTAAGAAAAGCTGTCTCGGGTGTGGACCAATTTCAAGGACAGTGCATATCATTATCAGAGTTGTCTTTTTTGTTTGCATTATGACTGCAGGTATTGTGGTCTATGCAAACATGACTCCTTGTAAAAAAGGTGTCAGTTTTGTTGCCAGATAGAAGGGTAAAAAATCAATTATCAACCTCACTATTATTCGGACCAATAAATGCACGTCGGGTACTTTGTATGTATGTATGTATAACCTATTTCTTTCCTCTTTGACACCGTATGCAGCCAACCGTGCTAATCGGAGGTGCGATGTGTTAATAAACATAGTGTTTCCCTACCTTTCATCTGCAGGTTAGGCCACACGTGGGCACTCAGGGCCTGAATGATCCTCTTGATGCCAGTCGTCTCTGGAAAGTCATCTACGCACACAAAAACAGAACAACAACAACAACCGCCGTTCACCACCAAGTGGAGGTGACATCACCACCACGGTGCTTGTGCCATGCTAGGTGCATTTTGGTCATGGAATAGACCCAGGTGCCATGGGATAACTGACAGAGATGACTGGCACATGCACCAACTGTGCTCCCCACTGTGGCAATTCTATGCGCTGTAACCGCTCCCCGCTCCGTTCGTTGTTGTGAGCGTCGCTTCTCTGCCCTCCGTTGTTGCTAGAGGGTGACTGCCTCCAACTCTTCAGCAGCATCCTTGACAAACCTCCTCTACGAAGGCCGATCTTAACCGTGCTGATACCGGTCACCGGCAAGCCCAATCAACTAAGCGCATCCTTGTGTACCGCATCGGTCCATCACTTCTCTCGCCCGTGCCACAGAAGTAATGGGATATCCCAAAATCGCAACACATTTTCGGCACGACAGGAAAATCAGCTTGGAGCGTAAAACAGTAAAAACGACGGTCTGTAAACATTTGCTGGCGGTTGACAGTGGTGCACAGAAAGGTTTGGAAAGCCCATCTCTAGACCATGGGGAACAGCAGAAGATGAGGGGGTGGGGGTACTCACCATCCTCATCCAGGGCCTCAAGGGGACTCAACTCAACCAACTCAAATGCCGACTGGATGCACCACTCCTGTGCCTCCCTGCGAGAGACACCTGCAACACGCAAGTAGCACAAAGACAAAAGCTACTCCATATAGACTCTAAACAGACTGACGGGGAAAGTGCTGTCAGCAAGCACCTACACACCCATACAATGACAAAGATCCCCCCTATAGCCTCAATAGACTCTTGCGGCATGTGCTGCTATCGAGCACTTATGAAGGCTGGGCACACCACATACACCTCCGTACACACACTCTACACCACACACACTCTCTACACCACACAGACTCTCTACACCACAACAACAACAACCGCCACTAAGTGGCGGTGACGTCACCACGATGCTTGTGCCAGGCCATGTGCACCTTGAGGCCACGTGAAGTGTCGAACGCATGCTGGCAGGAGGTCACGGGGCAGACCCAGGTGCCACGGGTCGACTGACCGAGATGACCGAGATGACTGGCTGATGCACCACCTGTGCCCCCTACTGTACCAACTTGCTGTGCTTTAGCCACCCGGCGCTCCGCTCGTTGTTGTGAGCGTCGCTCCTCCGCCCTCCGTTGTTGTTGGAGGGCGACTGCCTCCAACTGCCCAATAGCGTCCTTCACGAGCCTCCTCCACTGAGGCCGATCTTGACACCGCTGGTACCAGTCATCGGCAAGTCCACTCAGCTCCACGTCCTCCTGTACCACATCACTCCATCTCTTCTCTAGCCCGTGCCGCGACCGTTTAGCCCCCTCGATCCGGCCGAACAAAAGCTGTTTAGGCATGCGGTGGCTGGGCATGCGGGCTACATGACCCAGCCAACGCAGCCTTGCCTGCCGGAGGAGCTCTACACCACACACACTACACCACACACACACACTCTCTACACCACACACACGTCCATACACACACACTCTCTACACCACACACACCTCCGTACACACTCTACACTACACACACTACACCACACACACATACACTCTCTACACCACACACATGTCCATACACACACACTCTACACCACACACACACTCTACACCACACACACGTCCGTACACACACACACTATCTACACCACACACACCTCCGTACACACTCTACACCACACACACATACACTCTCTACACCACACACACGTCCATACACACACACTACACCACACACACTCTCTACACCACACACACGTCCATACACACACACTCTCTACACCACACACACCTCCGTACACACTCTCTACACCACACACACGTCCATACACACACACTCTACACCACACACACTCTCTACATATCACACACGTCTGCACACACACACACACGTCTGCACATACACACACACTCTACACCACACACTCTCTACACCACACACACACACACGTCTGCACATACACACACACACACACGACAACCCTGGGCAGCGTGCACTGCGGTCACCTTGCTCGTCGACGCGGTCGCACACGAGCACGAGCACCGATGGCGCCCAGTGCTGAGAGAACGACAGCCACTCGGACACCTGCGCCAGCGCCCCCTTCTGCACAAAGACAAAGATTCCACGTGTAGCCTTAACAGACTGTTGGAGCAAGTGCTGTAAGCGGAGTAACACCTATGAATGCTGGCATTGGCAACACTAGGGGGTTGGTGGCCGGTAACACGCCCGGCCACCTTTGTCTCCCTAATGGCGATGTTTACACACCGCACCAGATACTCAGTTGAGGTTGAGTCGACCTAGGAGAGGCTCCACACCGGTTCAGCTAATCGTCACTGGTGTTCAGTGAGCAGGAATCGAACTCGGGTCGCTGGGTTTGTCGAGCCGTGCGCTAACCGCTACACCACCACTCCCCACACACGCACAAACACAGATACGAGAGCTCATGGCAATTGCATTAGTACATCTCTGTAGTCACGTGTCTACTGTGCAGGGTTTGCGGGATCTGACAGAGCATATCAACTAAACAATTTAAAATCAATGCCCACTGAGCTATGTAGCTCTTTTTCAGAAGCAAACTGGCCACAAATGATTGCTCAACTAAGTGGCTTTTCACGTGGAAATGTATAGCGGCCACATACTCTTGATGCAGTAAATTTGGCTGTGACAGTCCCACCTGATGACGGAGACTTGTGTTGCCTCCGAAACGTCGTGATTTATTATTTTATTTCTATTATTACTTCTATTAATTAAAATTTTATTTTTTACCTACGTGATTTTACCGAAAAAACCCAAGAGTATGAATCCTTGCAGTCACGAAAGCTTCAAATCTAGAATACTCTAAAAGCACGTTGATTCTAAAATGTGGAGGGAAAAAAAACGGAGGACCCGGAGATAAATCCACGCGACCACAGAGAGAACATCCGGTGACCTCAACAGCTTTGGCCACGATGACATCTTGACCTTGACCGGGGTGAGAGAGGCCATGTGCGGCAATTCCATCCATCCGTACTCTCGCCGGGGAGTGAAGAAAAAAGATCGCGCGACGGGGAGGCCAAGGATGGGCGACGCGGAAAGACGAGCAACGGTCCGCGAAGCAAAAACCAACCTGGGACGCGTCGAAGTAGGCGAGGAAGGCCTGCACCGATTCGCCAAACTCGCGCGACACCAGGGACTTGCTCCGCAGGGGACAGAGGCGCACGCTGGCCGAGTAGTACTTGTTGTCGATGCGCCACGGGAACGACTCCACACCGTCCTCGCTCGTCACGCTCTCGTCCGCCGAGCCCTCGCTTCCCAGAACCTCTGCGCACAGCGGACAAAAAACCACGCGGTTTTAGCGGCGTAGTTCGTACAAAACCGGAGCGGCAGATGACGCGCCGGCGGATACGGTGCATTGCCCTCTGCCGTGTTGACCTTTTAAGCCCATTGCACAGCTCAGCAGCCTATAATACATGTTATGTATGTATGTATATTGAACGTCTTTCGCACAGTACATAGCCAACCGTGCTAATGCCCCGTTCAAGCACTGTGCAGGTTTCAAGCCTGCTTGAAAATAAAAGAGGTTAAAAACTGCGCTATAGATAAACAATGTGCCAGCAATTTTTTACACAGTAAAAAAAACAGTTTGCAATAATCTTACGTAGTTATAGACTTACGTTAAATTTTACTTATGCAATATTTAATTAGCGTAATGGAAGCCGAACACTAGCTGCCAGAACATACGTTAAAATTTTTGAAAATACTCTACTGTATGTTCCTGTACGGTCCTTTTTTTTATTTAGTTTCTGTCTCCAGGTTGTCACCAACCATTTGATAAGTTGTATTGATCCATCAGCTACGTACCTTCACAACAACACAACTTTATACTAAAACTTCGCTCACATTGGATCATCTTTGCAATTATTATCGTGCCCCCCCCGCCCCACCCCTTCATGGATGAACAGACGGACGTACGGTGTGAACGTATATAGACGCTGTCACCCTCGGCTGGAAATCTTCATATGAATTACCTGCACAACCCTTTGACGATCTAACCCAGCGGTCTTCACTACTAGGCCCACGGCAGAGGTCGCAAACGGGTTTTGATTCCTTACCCGTACCAGCCGGGTACGGGTACCCGTTCCATACCCGTACCCTACCCGAAATGAGCGTACCCGTTCCCTACCCGTACCCTACCAGAAATGAGCGTTCCCATTCCCTACCCGTACCCGTACCCTACCCGAAATGAGCGTACCCGTTCCCTACCCGTACCCGTACCCTACCCGAAATGAGCGACAAACGGTTACTCACCAGTGACTCACGGCCTACCCGTACCCGGCCGCACCAGGGCCGCAAACAGCTACCCGTATCCGTACCCGGCCGGGTACCGGTAGCCGGGTATCGGGTAGGGTACGGGTATCGGGTACCCGGTTGCGACCTCTCGCCCACGGTCCACTGGCGGCCCCTGGTGGCATTTAGTGCAGCCCCTAAAGTGCAGCCCCCGACAATTAACAACGTGCGGCAAAACCCCCATCATTGTGCTGCTGTCAAACCCCAATGGTTTCAAATGTGTGACGGGCCTCACACTGATGATGTCTTATCGGCGAAAGTGGCACACCCCTCTGAATGTTAGTGAAGAAAACGGGTCTAACCGCTGAAAGAGGCCTCCCCTTGCTTCGCGTATCGTGCCGATTGTTTAACCATTCTTCACCACACAGGGCATTGCGGGTTGGTGAATGCAGGGGATACAAGAGGCGGTAACACAGTACAGTACAACACTACATGTCACATGCACCGCCCCAAACCCCGCAGCCAATAACAACCGAACGTGCATTGCAGTCGCCAATTAAATAATTGTCCAGGTGTATCCTTGCTTGGCTTGACGAGATCTTGACGAAATCGGGGGCATTGCGGGTGCTCTGGCCACGGGCTCGCGTTAAATGCCCGGGTGAGCGGGGTGGGATCCAGCCTGCCATGTGGGAGACGCTACTACACCTGGGGGGGGTTCCACTCACCGCCTCGCACAAAGCAGCATGGAGAGAGAGAGATGCCGGCTTACAAATTACACTTAAGAGACAGAGTGTTGTAACGGTCGACAATGATGATGATGATAAGAGCATAAAATAAAAGTGTGTTGGGCAATTGGGCGCGTTGCTGAAATGGGTTGATCTATAAGCCCGTGGCTGAGAATCGATAATCGCAGGAAATGGAGCGATTTACATCAGCTCGTGTGGAGGTGGATCGATGGATTACTCCCATACCTTAATTCTAGATTTGAAGCTTTCGTGACTGCAAGGATTCATACTCTATGTTTTTTTCGGTAAAGTCACGTAGGTATAAAATCAAATCAAATAAATGAAAACTAAATTAAATCACGACTTTTCGGGCGCAACGCAAGCGTCATTGTGTGTCAGACACACATTTAAGCGGTTATGCTTTCGCTACGTTGTCCCCACCTGAAGAAGGAAGCTTGTGTTGCGCCCGAAACGTCGTGATTTTATTTAGTTGTTTTCATTTATTTAATACTCCCATACCTTTCAACCCCGTATTCTTGTGCAGGGAAAATTGAGTTGTCAGGTCTATACGGCGTACAACCGTTTCAATACGGGCAAAAAAATGTGTTTAGTGACGTAATTTGTATCTATTTGTTTGTGTTTCTCCCTTGTGATGGGACTTTGTAGGATGAACGTTGAGATGTATAAGGGACACGGGCTGACCAATACGGTCCGAATTGATCTGCAATAATAAGGTAGGGCACTGATAAGGGGTTTGACAGGCGTGTGCTACATCACGGATTCGTGAGAGAAGGGGGGAGGCTTTGGGGAGGCCTTCTTGCAGCAGTGGATAGACCATGGCTGACGACAACGAACAGACACCGACCGGCGCTTCCCCCCCCCCCACCACCCCCGCGTCGCCTACCGAGGAAGGCGCCACTCGCCCGGGCAGGGAAACCAGGCAAGAGCGAGGCTCCTCGAGGCTGCAAACGAACTCACGTTTCACGAGATCCTCCGCCGAAAAGCTGTCGCTGCAACTGACCACGGCGATCGAGGGCAACGCCATGACCCCTGTGGTTTAGTTTGTTGTAGTTGTCGTTGTTTTATTTAAACAAAAATTGACATTGAGTTCAAAATGAAGACGGGGAAACGTTTAGCTTGACGGAGCGGACGCAGAGGGCCGCGCCGTCGGGGTGACGTCGACGACGGTGGCCGGTGCGCGTCAAAGACCACGTGGTTCGCGTTTTTTTAAATCCTTTATATTAAGTTCGCTTGCTTGCTTGCGTGCTTGCTTGCTTGCTTACGACCGTGCAAATCTTTCGGTCGTTTTTTAACCCACTTCCCGTGATCCAATCGAGCTGACATTTTGCACACAGACTCGTTGTGCGAGACAATTAATGTTCGTGAAAAAAAATTCCAAAAATTTTACACTGTTTAGGGAAAACAAATTAAATATTTAATTACCAATTGTTTAATACTGGCAGACAATCATCTGACCCATAGGTGGCAGCCATCTCAAGCCAGAGGACGAGAGGACTCTAGCCGCCACCCATATAAAGGATTTAGAGTGAAAAACTTTGTTTTTACGGGTTATACTTATTATTCGTCAGCTGCAGCCGCAGCGGCTATGTTTAATCCACTGCTGGATGAGGGCCTCACCCATTTCTGACCAGAAGAAGTGGACAATACAGACGTCGTAAGTTCTAAGTGGGTGAAATGTAAAGGTGCAGCCCCTGCAATTATTAGCTTTGGGAACGTTCATAAATGACGTCATGCGATTTTTGGACGATTTTTGACCCCCCCCCCCCCTCGTCACAATAAAAAAAAAGTCAGACCCCCCCCTCAAATGTGACGTCACAAATCTCTGCCCCCCCAAACAATATTTCTATTTTGAAATTAAAACATGCTTCAAATCGCTTTAAACTATTGTCATTGTAGTGCGTATTTAATGTGGCGCTGCACTATGATGTTGTAGGAGTGTTGTTGTAACGATTAGTGTTGTTATAACAATTTAATATTTATTTAAAGTTGCGCATTTTGATGTGACGTCACATTTCTCAAACCCCACCCCTCCTCGTCACACATCGTCACAAATGTCTGACCCCCCCCCAACCCCCCCCCCTAGGTGCGTGACGTCATTTATGGACGGCCCCTTTACGCCACTAGAGGGAGCGCTGGCGACTTGTAAAGGAAGGAAAATAATCTGCGCCTTGCACCAGAGGTCGCAAACGGGGTTTGATTCCTTACCCGTACCCGGCCGCACCAGGGTCGCAACCGGGTACCCGTGCCCGGCCGTACCCTACCCGTACCCTACCCGATACCCGGCTACCCGTACCCGGCCGTACCCGTACCCTACCCATACCCGGCCGGGTACGGGTAGGGTACGGGTATCGGGTACCTGATTGCGACCTCTGGGATGAAACCATGTTGCAGGCGCGGGCGGGTTGATTCTAGGAACTTGAATTGTGAGAAGAGACAAGACGTTGGGAAATGAGTGACAAACGGTGACTCACCAGTGACTCACGGCCTACCCGTACCCGGCCGGGTACGGGTAGCCGGGTATCGGGTAGGGTACCTGGTTGCGACCTCTGCCTTGCACTCAGAATATTTAGGAATCCGATGATCTATAAAGCGTTTTTTTTAATATCACAGATGTCCAGTTGGTGGCGATTCGTAAAGTTACAACAACAAACGGTACTAAAGGCACGACGCAGGTCTGGAGTCTTCCTTGTGTTTTCTAGATTTGAAGCTTTCGTGACTGCAAGGATTCATGCTCTTAGTTCTTTCGGTAAAGTCACATAGGTAAAAAATGAAGTTAAAATTAATAAACATAAAACAATAAAATCACGACGTTTCGGAGGCAACGGAGACTTGTGTTGCCTCCGAAACGTCGTGATTTTATTGTTTTATTTTTATTAATTTTAATTTCATTTTTTACCTACGTGACTTTACCGAAAGAACTAAGAGTATATTTTACTTGTGTGCTGAACGAATGGTGCAGGCGAGGCTGGCAATGCTGATGAGAGGTTGAATGGTGAAACCGAGCCGGAGTTTTTCTTGTGCTGAACTTCATTGCTTTTCGATTTAAAGCTTTCGTGACTGCAGGGATTCATCTTCTTGGTTCTTTCGGTAAAGTCACGTAGAAGGGAAATAATAAAATAATAAAAATAAAACAATAAAATTTCGATTTAAAGCTTTCGTGACTGCAGGGATTCATATTCTTAGTTCTTTCGGTAAAGTCACGTAGAAGGGGAATAATAAAATAATAAAAATAAAATAATAAAATTCTCACGACTTTTCGGCCACAACGCAAGCAGCCGTCCTCAGGCGAAGAACAGAGCTGTCGGAAAGACAGCATCCTAATGAACACTGCTAAGCTTGGCAGCGTATTCTATTCGCTTTACGTGATTTTACCAAAAGAACCAAGAATAAGGGCCATCATACTAATAGGGTTTTTCTCCTTTTTACTGGCAACTAAACTGACACCTTTTGCAAGGAATCATGCTTACATTAACCACAATACTTGCAGTCAAATGCAAAAAAAAACCAATACTCTGGTAATTTATGCATTGTCTTTGAAACTGATTGGTCCACACCAGAGACAGCTTTCTTTAGAGCCTAGTCTCATATGGTGTTCGACCAGATGACGCCAAAAGGCGCACAGTTCAAAGACAACGCACTACCAGAGTAATGAGAGCTTGGGGTGAGAAGCTACATCATGGGACCTCCTTTGCCAGTACCAAAATATACTAATAGGGTTTTTCCGGCTACATATGGAGAAGGGCCATTGTCCGAAACGTCGCTCCCGCTGCGTGTTGTTTATTTGAAAGCCACACCGGGGGAGCCTTCCCCTTTGTGAGCGCTGAGTTCGGCGCACTGCTCCATCACCTTCGATAGCTCAGTTGGTAGAGCGGAGGACTGTAGATGAACGCGCTTGGCTGACATCCTTAGGTCGCTGGTTCGACTCCGGCTCGAAGGACGATTATTTTTTTTATATTTTTTTAAATCTACTTTCAACCGGCCGAATGTTGTTTTGCTCGTATAGGCTGGAATTAGCGGCCTCTTCGAGTCTACGGGACGGAATTTGTTAAGTTTGTATCTTAAATGTCGCGTTTGTGTTTTGTTACTCAATGTTTTTTGTTCGGTCTGCTCGTTTTGCCACGAAGACACTGGCGACGCACCGCCCTCTAGCGGACTCTAACCGAATGGTGCAAACTGCAAAGGGAGTGAACACATGACTTCCTCACCCAACGACAACCACACAACACCACGAGACATCATGATCATTGTTTTTTTTACCCTTCTAGCTGGCAACAAAACGGACACCTTTTTTTACGAGGAGTCATGTTTACATAGACCACAATACCTGCAGTCATAATGCAAACAAAAAACATAACTCTGATAATGTGCACTGTCCTTGTAGTTGATTGGTCCACACCCAAGACAGCTTTCCTTAGAGCATAGTCTCACATTTTGGATTCAACCCATGTGAGACTAGGCTCTAAGGAAAGCTGTCTCGGGTGTGGACCAATCAACATCAAGGACAGTGCACATTATCAGAGTTATGTTTTTTGTTCGCATTATGACTGCAGGTATTGTGGTCTATGTAAACATGACTCCTTGTAAAAAAGGTGTCAGTTTTGTTGCCAGATAGAAGGGTAAAAAAAACAATTATCATATTTTTACTGTCAAATGAGGTTCCAATGGTGTAAACCTCGAGACATTGTCAACCAACAACCCTCGACAACGTCACCTCGCCGCGGACTCAAGTCCCGATCCCAATCACTTCCACCATCAACCGCGTCAGAACATCGGCAGGACAACGCGTGCACGTCACCTTCATGAATGAACAAATGAAAGACACGAGCGTGGAGTCACCCCACCTGCAGTCTGCGCTCCTTCCATGGACGAGGGACACGTGTTGTTGGAAGGAGGCTGATTGTCCGCTTTTATATTTTGTTACTGGTAGGAACCTACTGGTTCCACGAGCCCACAGGGGATTCTTGTGTCCGTCCGTCGTGCAGGGAGGGGCTGGGTGGGGAGGGAGGGGCTGGGTGGAGAGGGGAGGTTGGGGAGGGGCTGTGTGGGGAGGGTGGGGCTGGGAGGGGAGGGGAGGGTGGGGAGGGGCTGGGTGGGGCTGGGTGGAGGGTGGGAGGGGTGGGGCTGGGTGGGGAGGGGCTGGTCACCATGTGGTGCCCTTATAAAACTCAACGTTTAACCTACTCACGCCGGCTTGTGCCCGCCCTCACAGTCGGGCATATTTGCGGAATAAAACCACGCCGCCGTTGACCCTGGCCATTGACCGAGCAACCCAACGTTCCTACCAGCTCCCCCTGCAGGAATGTGTTATTTATACATGGTGCTTCCAAAAAATGTTAACACTTTTTGGGGCTATTGTTTTTAATGGAACAAATAGAACCGGCAACACACCTTAACATGATAACAAATGTAATGTTAGTAACTTCAAAAAGTCACAGAGTCTCCACTTGTTTCGCCATCGTTGTCAACGCGTGCAGGGAAACTTCACCAGGTGGTCTCCAGAGCTCGGAGGCAGCACATTTCTTGCGGCATTGTTGCAAATTCTCCGAAGTGTTAACACATTATTGCTGGTTCCTTCGGTAAAGTCACGTAGAAGGGAAATCATACAATAATACAAATAAAACATAATAAAATACAACCGATCCATGGAGGTCCACTTGCTCCGTGTCAACCTGCGCGCGTGTGATTCTTGTGGATGGCGTGGGCGAGGGCTGAAACGAATGAAAAGCGGACTTCCGAACACGAAACGTCGATGCCAGAGGTCTCCTCGTAGCGGCAATGAACGTCCGGAGACGGAGCGAAGTCGGCTCGCGTGCAGGACGGATGCTAAATAGATTGTTACATCCGCGGGATTGGGTTGGAGGTGGAGGCGGAGCCGGCGTGAGAGGGGGGGCTTCATCCAGCGGTGGATAGATCAGGTTCTCACGGCGATGGTGAATTCGTCGAGCAGACGCGTTACTTACCGACTGCTGTTCACACTCTCATGGTGTTCTTCTGCAAGGGCTCGAATTCAGAGATTTGGCTCAATGATCGTGGCGGCGACTTTGCTTGATAGAACATGATGATTTGATTCTAGATTTTAAGCTTTCGTGACTGCAAGGATTCATATTCTTAGGTTTTTTCGGCAAAGTCACGTAGAAAAAACCTAAGAATATGATGATTTGATCTCAC